AGATTAACCAGATACAGTTGCTCATAGAATTTGCTCACTTTCCGGCCAGGTGCTCGAACTGGAGAAGAAGCAGAAGAACTTCGACAAGATACTCGCCGAAGAGAAAGCCATATCAGAACAGATCGCCCAGGAGCGCGACACGGCGGAGCGTGAGGCGCGCGAAAAGGAGACCAAGGTGCTGTCCGTTTCACGCGAACTGGACGAGGCGTACGACAAGATCGAGGATCTGGAAACGAAGCGCAAGCAGCTGCAAAACGAACTCGACGATCTGGCCAACACGCAGGGCACCGCCGACAAGAACGTTCACGAGCTGGAGAAGGCGAAACGTGCGCTGGAATCGCAGCTGGCGGAGCTGAAAGCACAAAACGAGGAGCTCGAGGATGATCTGCAGCTGACCGAGGACGCCAAATTGCGGCTGGAGGTCAACATGCAGGCGCTGCGCTCCCAATTCGAACGTGACCTGCTGGCCAAGGAGGAGGGCGCCGAGGAGAAGCGACGCGGTCTGGTCAAGCAGCTGCGCGATCTGGAGGCCGAACTGGACGAGGAGCGCAAGCAGCGCACGGCCGCGGTGGCGGCCAAGAAGAAGCTGGAGGGCGATCTCAAGGAGATCGAGACAACCATGGAGATGCATAACAAGGTGAAAGAGGATGCACTAAAGCATGCCAAGAAACTGCAAGCACAAGTCAAGGATGCGCTGCGCGATGCCGAGGAGGCCAAGGCCTCCAAGGAGGAGCTGCAGGCGCTCAGTAAAGAGGCCGAGCGCAAGGTGAAGGCTCTGGAGGCCGAAGTATTACAGCTAACCGAGGATTTGGCCAGCTCGGAGCGTGCCAGACGTGCGGCCGAAACGGAACGTGACGAACTGGCCGAGGAGATTGCCAACAATGCCAACAAGGGTTCGCTCATGATCGACGAGAAGCGTCGACTGGAGGCGCGCATCGCCACCCTGGAGGAGGAGCTTGAGGAGGAGCAGTCCAATTCGGAGGTGCTGCTCGATCGCAGCCGCAAGGCGCAGCTACAGATCGAACAGCTGACCACCGAGCTGGCCAACGAGAAGTCCACTTCGCAGAAGAACGAGAACCAACGCGCGCTGCTCGAACGCCAGAACAAAGAGCTGAAGGCCAAGCTAGCCGAGATCGAGACGGCGCAGCGCACCAAGGTGAAGGCCACGATTGCCACGCTCGAGGCCAAGATTGCCAATCTCGAGGAGCAGCTCGAGAACGAGGGCAAGGAGCGGCTGCTCCAGCAAAAGGCCAATCGCAAGATGGACAAAAAGATCAAGGAGCTCACCATGAACATCGAGGACGAGCGAAGACACGTCGATCAGCATAAGGAGCAAATGGATAAAGTGAGTGTCCATTTCTTAAACAATTTAAACGATTCCATATTTAACCTCTCAAATCCTTTCACAGCTGAATAGCCGCATCAAACTGCTCAAGCGCAACCTGGACGAGACCGAGGAGGAGCTGCAGAAGGAGAAGACGCAGAAGCGCAAATACCAGCGCGAATGCGAAGACATGATCGAATCCCAGGAGGCCATGAACCGTGAGATTAACTCACTCAAAACAAAATTGCGGTAAGTTGACGACAGATAATACTCAGATAGGAAGTTGGGTATATCAATAGATGTGCGATACTGACTATATATGGACTATAAATATTGGCCTCCAGCTAGTTTAGCCCTTTTTTTTTTTTTTTTTTATATTAACAATTGGTCAAAAATGGAATTTATGAGTTTTTCAAGATATTTTTTGACGTCGGATTACTTTAAAACAAAGTTCCTCTAGGAACGAAAGGACGAAAACTTGTTTTGTTTTTCATAATATTTCAACAAAACTTACAAATTACGAGCTTCAAATTCAACTAATATTTGAGTTAAATATTAATATTATCTGTTAAAGAAATTGTTAAAAGCAATCGAGAATAAATTAAGTTCTCGCTTTCAATTCCGACCAACTATATCACATATCTTTCATAGAAACAATCAGTTAAATGATGACTTTTTGTATGAATCTCGGGGTAGGGCTTAGTATAGTAATATACCCTACATATCTGCAAGGGTATAACTCATATATATACCCCATATGTCTGCAAGGGCATTTAATTTTTCGGCTTGCCGATGTTATTTCTGCTTTTTGCCTGTTTTCTATTATTTCTTTTGATTTTTGCATTTTATTCTTGGCTCGACATTGTCCTCGTATAGCTCGATCCAGGTGGCCGAGACCGAAAAGGCCAAGGCGTATTCGCCGAAAAAGGATGCTGCGCTCATTATGAATTGTGAGGGTCTGCATTAGGTTTCGTTTCGCTTCGCTTCCTCTTGGTAGGCTGTAAGTGCCGGACACATCTTCATTCACCCAACCGAAACAGCAACAACCAAAAAATCCGGAGAATGAACCAAATCAGACATCGATTTCTCTGCATGTTACATACACAAATATACACACACCCACACACACATCAAATCGTGCGTTTAGTAATAGTGTTCAATGTTCGATTCGATTCCCCTTCCCAGGAATCCTCTCTAGAACTTAGTGCATAATGTCGTATATAGCGTGTTCTTCCCCCCAAAACTCTCTCGTTATATGTTTGCGTTGCCCTTTTCAACCTCTGTTCTTGATCTCTGCACGTTTATCCTGGCAACGGCTTGTTATCACACTTTGTAATAATTTCTATTTCGATTTCGATTTCCATTTTGTAGACGCACCGGCGGCATGGGCCTCAGCTCCACCCGACTCACGGGCACACCATCGTCCAAGCGCGGAGGCGGCGGTGGCGGCGGCGACGACAGCTCATCGGTGCAGGATGAATCATTAGATGGCGAGGATTCAGGCAATTGACGCGTTAATTATTAATACAAAAAAAAAAAAACAAAAAACAAAACAAAAAAACAAAAAACAAGAAAAACCAACAAAAAAAGGAAATAAACGATTATATTTTAATGTTTCTTTTATATAATTTCTCTGTTATTTTTTATATAAACTATTATTCTTAATTAAAAACTTAAAAACAACAACAAACGCAAAACAAAATAATTATACAACATAAAAACAAACTACAACAAATACGCGTATTAACTTTTCCAAAAAACTTCCTTCCCTCTTAAAAACCCAACAACAATGCAATATACATACACAACCGATTCCACAATCGAGGTACATTAATAAATACATGCATTTAATAACTAAAGGTTTATAAAACAATCAAATGTTGAACAAGCAACTAATATACGAATTTCGTTTTGTTTAGAAACAATAAATATTTGCTATAACAATTAAATATGTTTGCAAAACTGTTTGAATTGACGCGGCTAATTTTTATATTATTGTGTTGGCAATGCTCTTCCAGTGTGGCCGTACATGTGAACGACGATATCATTCAGCTTTTGTCAGTGTGCAAAATGACGCTAACATCCGCCCCTTGAGGGTATGCAATGAACATTTTCAACCGCCGATTCTTATCTACCTGCTGCTCATTTCTGTTCGCCTGGTATTTCGGCTGAATTTTTGTTCAAATCTCGTGACCAACTATCGAAAAAACAAACTCGATAACTACAAGGACGATTTTGATGTCCTTTGGCCAGTTGACAGCCCTGGTCAATACAAATTGTTTGGCACAGGACTCGCCAGGATCCGCAAGGATACGGCTGAGCTATAGACTATTTTATGAACATGGCTGCTTGAAGGATTTTCGTCCTTTTCATTGCATATTTTCAACAGGCAGGACAATCAATGTCTGTTGGCCAAAGGACATCAGGATAGTCCTTGAAATGGCCAAGTTATAGTCGATTTTGTTTTTAATGAAATTTAAAAAAAATAGCAATAACTCAGCCATATCCTTGCAGATTTTCGAGGGACCTGGTTCGTTAGGCTCGTAAGGACCAACCGCATCGATCTGCATCAAAATATTATGGGGTCATCTAAGAAACCTGGACTTGTGCAATTTCCGTCGCGAATTGCAAGGAAAAAGGCCCAAAACACAAAATCCTCGATATCTCTAAAACTACTAGGACGATTTTGATGTCCTTTGGCCAGTTGGTAGCCCTGGCCAATACAATTTGTTTGACACATAACTTGGCAGGATACGCAAGGATACAGCCGAGTTATGAGCCGTTTTTTATAGACAAATTTGTCCTTTTTTCTCAGCTGTTTGAAGGACTTTCGTCCTTTGGGTGGTAAATTCTTAATCTGGGGCACAAGGACAATCTAGTGGCCAAAGGACATCCTGATAGTCCTTGAAATGGCGAAGTTAGACCCGATTTTTGGCGTTTTGGGCCATTTTTGTGACTAACCCCCTAGGAAAAAATCAGGTGAAATTTTTTGACGAATCCTGGGAATCCTTGAATGCCAATCGATAGTAATGCTGCCCACGTTTTCAAAAAGGTATATCTTTCCGATATCCTTAAGGATTTGGCCAGGATATGGCCATAAATAGAATGTCCTTTTTAGAAAAGTAGCCATATCTTGGAAACTACAAGGACGATTTCGATGTCCTTTGGCCAGTTTGTAGTCCTGGTCAATACGAATTGTTTGGCACAGGACTCACCAGGATCCGAAAGGATACGGCCGAGCTATAAGCTATTTAAGGTGCAAAATAAATGTGTTCTTATCTTAGCTCCCTGAAGGACTTTCGTCCTGATCATTGCATATTTTGATGTGCCTAGATAGGGAGTATCTGTGGGCCAAAGGACATCGGGATAGTATTTAAAATGGGTGACTTATGGCCGATTTTGTGATTGATAAAATTAAAAAAAAATAGCTATAACTCGGCTATATCCTTGCGGATTTTCAAAGGACCTGGTTCGTTAGGCTCGTAAGGACTAACTGCATCGATCTGCATCACAATATTATGGGGTCATCTAAGAATCCTGGACATGGGCAAGTTACAATCCATTTACAATTTACAAAAATGTCCTTTCTCTTATACTAATTATAAAAACTTATCTTATACTAAGGAATCACCTGAGGATCATTGCCACCCTTTTGTTTGTTATTGTTGTATACTAACTATTTATTGAACATTTGTTTGATCTCTTTATACATATGATACATATATACAATTTGTTAACTACAGCTTTGTTCTAGGCTAATAATATCGTATCCTAAGTCGTGACAAATTCGAAAATCTCTTAATGTTTGCGTTTTTTTAAGGCACACAAGCAAGCGCAAGGCTATTTCCCCGCACAAAAACCCCTTTTGTGCTGGCCCGCCCATAAAACCCTCCCCAATTAATTGCTAATGGCACTATGGATCCCCCCGGTGCGCATGGCTGACGCTGTGCGGCAGGACCTGGACGACGACAACGCTACCGTTGCCCGGAGCGGGACCGGCAAGTGCTTCCAGCTCGGCAGAGGACTTGCTATGCTCCAGCTGCTGCTCCTCGCGCTTGCTGTTCAGATAGTAAACGCTGGCCACGATCAGGCTGAAGGTGGTCACGGAGACCAGCAGGGTGCCGTATTTGAGCGCCAGCTGAATGGCGTCCAGGCCAAATGTGCTCACATAGAGCGTGTGCAGCACATCGTCATTAAAATCGCCGGCGGTTATCTCGATCCAAATCAAAGGCAGAATGGTGGCGTTCTCCAGACGAGCCGCTTGATCTGCAAGTGGGCGTGGGTTACAATCAGTGTTTGGCTCTTGTTACAAGGCGGGGGGGCGTGTCACTTACTACGCAGCAGCGGCGTCTTGTCCAGCATGATGTTGATCTGTATGCGGGAGGCGCCGCTGATGGGGAAACCAAAGCGCGGATGTATATCGGCATAGGTCTGATGCAGATCAGCATCTGGCTTGATGCCCTCAAAGTCCTTGTACAGCACGGGATCGCCGGAGAAGAAGTGCGGAAATGAGGGAAATATGGGCGAATCATCGTAGCACTTGGTGGCATTTATTACGCCGCTGGGCAGGCAGCGATCCGTATTCTTGCAGAAGCACTCGTTGGCCGGATTCTCGGAGGGATGCGCAAAGACGTCCAAGGGCGTGCGATAGCGCAGCACATCGATGTCATTGTAGATGGTCTCCTCCTTCTCGAAATGCAGCGGCACCTTGCGGCAGAGCACCTGCAGAAAGACATAGACCGGGTTGCGGGTCTGCAGCTCGGTCGGCGAAAACATGGACGGTTCGCTGCCATCGATACGATTGCACTCGTCGCCCTGCCAGAAATCCAGCTGCGGCTTCCCATTGAACTGGGTAATGATGCTGAACTTAGAGATGTCGTCCTCGCCGGTGTTCAGCTGCACAGAGTCCACGCTGGTGCCATTCCGCTGGAGTGGACGGAGAGATCAGATTAGCTGATAAATCTAGACAGACATTCAATTCAATTCTCACTGTCTTGAGCAGCCCGAAGTGGGTCTTGCCGCCGCCCAGGGACTCCAGGCTGATGATCTTATCCCGATAGCCCCACAGGTACTCGTGGGCGGTGAGACGCTTGAAGAGCGGCTCCTCGAACAGCTTGATGGTGCCCGTGACCAGGAGACGCTTGAATGCGGGCATACGCTTCACGTGCACCGCCGCCGACAGCAGCGGTACATTGGGCACCAGGACCACATCATCCTCACGCAGCGTTGACTTTTCCGGCAGCAGCTTGTACGATTTTTTGTCCTGCAATATTTGAGTTTTAGATTCAAGCGTTGAGAGTTCAAGGGGAAGTGTGTTACCCTGAAGGTGACAGTGTGATTTTTGTTGAAGGACACTTGATCCTTGACCGTGTGCTCCTGATAGGTCAATGGACCCAGATCCTCCACGTGCATCTTGTCCGCTCGCCCGGCCAGAAAGTCCTCAATATTTGTGTAGTTGAATATGTGCGCCTTGAGCAGCGTATCATATTTGGGATCTGGCTGCAGCCAGCTGTTGGCTGTCTCGGAATTCTCGGCGAGTATAAGATTCTGCAAAAGTAACGAACAAAATGTAGCGAGTAAAGCGCAACGTGTGCAGAAAAAAGTAAAAGGGAGAACGTAACGAGTAAGATGTAGCGAGTGAAAAAGTAACGAGCGAAAATGAAAGAGTGAAACGAAGGGAATCAACTCTTTGAAATATAAAGAGTAAAAAGTAACGAGTGATAAAGTAACGAGTAAAATTTGAATAGTTAAATGAATTAAGTAATAATAAATATTGAAAATAAGGGAATGATATGTAAGCAGTGAAATATAACGAGTTAAATGTATAGAGTGTAGAAGTAACGAGTGAAAATGGAAGAGTGAAATGTTGGGAGTAAAATAAAGAGGGCAAATGATGAAGTGATATACATATAAGCTGTGAAATAAACCGAGTCACGCATGATAAATTAACAAGTAAACAGTAATGAGAGATAATAAAAGAGTGAAAAGTAACAGTAAAGAGTGAAAATGAAATGAAATGTAAGCTGTGAAATATAACGAATAAAAAGTAACGAGTGATAATAAAAGACAGAAATGTAGCCAACGCATTGCGACGAGTGCAACTTTAATCGTTTCAGCAATTGCAGATAAAGATCGCGTGGCTCTGCTTACCTTGAGCATGGTATTATTATAGTATTCCGTGAACCACATAACAAAGAACCCGGTCACGCTTATCACAAACAGCAAAAACATGAAGCCCAACACTGTTAAGGTTAAGAAAGTGGGTTAATCAGAGCACGCAAAATTAACATAATATTATTGCCGCGCTCACTTATCAGTACGCCAATATCCTTGGACGTCAGATTGCGTAGACCCAACGATTCCAATGTCATGTCCAGCACCGTCAGTTTCTCGGGCCTGCTGCTGCTGCTGCCTCCGCCTCCGCTGCCGCCCCCGCCCACGCTGTAGCCATAGCCCAGCGTGTTGCCATTACGTTGCGAGTTCAACGTATTGGACTTTGATTTGCTTTGTTGTACTGTGAGATCCTCTGAGGCAGCCGTCGGCGGGGACTGTGCCACATAGCGGTCCGTGGCATGTGACATTGTCTGGCCGAGTATTTGACTGCAACAAGCAATTAGTTTTATATTCCATTAGAATTGTTACTTGAATAATCAGGCTAGTTTTGCACACGTGTGCTATATATGCATATATATATATATATTTCGCGATCTTTTCCCGAATCGGACACGTGGTCCTCTTATCACAAATACTTCGCTGAGGGCAGCTTCAGCTTGGTTCATTGACCACAACACGTTGACTCTGGGGCTTAGATTATTGAAAATGGGTTGCCCATTCATAAGCCAGATATACCTGCGTTCTATATAGTTTATATAAGTAAAGTAGTATAATTCTGGGCCGATCTGGCGCTTAAGCAGCTCTTAACCAGCCGATCGTTTAACGGCGTGTGTAACAACTAATCTCGGTTTTAATAATTTTCACAAGCTACGCGTGCTACTCTCAAATCAAAGTACAACAATAATACAAACACATATATAACATATATAGATATACATATATATATATATATATATGTGTGTGTGTGTGTGTGTGTGTGTGTGTGTGTCTATATAGAATCGCGCTGCTCTTATCAGCGGCACTTGGTACATGCGAGAAGGCTACGATTCATAAAGAAAACATTCAACGAGTACATTTAATTCCACACACACACACACACGCGCGCACACACACACACATGCATGTACTTATGTATTATGCGTCGACTGGAACATAGTTGAGGTACTAACTAAATGAGCTGTCTAAATATAGTATAAACTACTTAATTACTAAACAGTAGTCGCTCGTTAGTTGGAAAGCTGCGAGTTGTAAATTAATAATTAATGGGCCTAATAAATTAAAAATAAATAAACTTAAATTAAGATAACAATAAAAATATTAAGTATTTCTGGAGATTATAGGCGGTAGAAAAGACAATATATAGAGAAATTGTAATTGTAAAAATCTGAACGAACTGCATAAAAACTGATAAAAACAAAAATTCAAGATACCCTATAAACAGCTTCGTATGCCCTTGATATATGCATATTCGTACTTCTTGAAAAACACGCTCTAAAAAAACTTATTCTTCAAGAACTTTAGATATATGTTGCAAATTTTATATAGTTTTCGTGCCATCAAGATGACATTGAAATCCAAGCATGCCCCAAAGAGGAGAGCTATAACTTATCAATTTATTTGAAGAGGAAGAGCTAAGCAAAATGTCAAAAATTGTTGAGCTGATCAAATTTTGTGCTCTAGCCCGAGATATGTGCGACAGAAGGAAGCTGGAAAACGATATTTATTGATTTTGAGTAAGTTCTGCAGAAATATCGGCCCTATATAATATAATAATACCAATTAGACAATGTATATAAGAACTGAGCTGAAGGTTATTTTACAAACAGACAGAAAATTCGACACGTTCGATTTGACATATTTGAAAACGAATTTCCAGAAAATTCTAAATTTAGATAGTGCTAATCGCCGAGTGACCACTGTACATTCATATATATATATATAGATCTATATGTATATAGATTTGCCAGCTATGTCCGCTGAAAAAGGGGTCAACGGCATCTGATAAGCGGCTGCTGCTGCCGCTGCTGCTACTCGTCACAAATGAAATCTAAAAAATTTCCAATATTTGAAACTACCGAAGGTAGCTTATCAGTGCGAACGTACTCAGATTGTGGGCGATAGAGCAAATGTTGTTGTTGTTGTTCTTTTTTGACATATTGCGAGTCAAGTTTAAGTAAAAGGTTCATGTAACATGCACACACACACACACACACACACACACACGCACACGCACACATTGACACATTGGGCAAGCTTTCAGCAGTAGTTAAAAACGTGTTCAAAAACCAATTTTTGCTTAAATAATTCAACAGCTGATAAGTATTCACACACACACACACACACACACACACACACACATGCATTTATACGTACATGTGCAGGCAGTCTGTGCGGGCGTAAAAAGCTTTGAAAGTTGCACTGCTTTTGCTGTTGTTGTTGTTGTTGTTGCTGCTGCTGCCGTGCGACTGACTGACTGCTACGAAATTTAGTTAGCGCTGCAGCGGCGCTCTCTCAGTGCCATTGACTGATAACACACTGACACGGTCGCGGAAGATGCCTCCACCTGTGTGTGCGAAGAGCATGCCCCGGCGTCTAAGAGAGCGCTAGGCAGAGATCCAAAATGCAGATGTGCAGTTATTGGCATGCACTTGAAAATATGTATGTATATATTGGAAAGGAAAGCTTATCACGCACAGAGCGACGCGTGGGCAGCTCAGCTGTTCGCGACAGCGCAACAATTTGGAAACGAAACACGCGCGCGCGCACACAGCCAATTGCACTCGCGCTCTCACTCGGCGACTCTCTCGCGCTTGTTGTTGTTTCTCGCTTGCACTCGCTGCGCGTGTATTGTGCTTTGGCGCTCTCGCTTCGACATGCACTTTCCAAGACGCCAGGCAAACATTTGGCGTCTTAATTAATAATTTGTCGCTATTTACGCTGAATGCGCACAAAACATGTAGTCAAAAAATTCAAAGCTTGTTATTTTATTGCCGTTCCACTGATTGTTGTGGTTCTATGTATTTTAATTCGCCGCGCGACACACTATGCCCAGAAGCTGTTATTGTTCTCTGTTGTTGTCGAATTCTGATTCTGTTACTGATTTCTGTTGTTGTTCTTGTTCTGGCTGGAGCTCTGGTCTGTGTTGTTGTTGCCTTGTGTTCGCGTTCTTTGTTGCCCACTTGCTTCTTTGTTTTGTCGCTATTCCGTTCTGACGGCTGATCGCTCGCTGCTGTTTGTTGTTGTTGCTCTTGTTTTTGTTATTATTCTTCTGTATTTTTCTTTTCTTTTACATGTATACAAGCTGGTTTTCTGTATGACTTGTTACAACTTCGTTGCAGTCGCTTTTGTTGTTGTTGTCTTTGTCTTTTTATTACATTTTGCGCTGACTTGCCTGGCTCAGGTTTTCCATTAGCTTCAGCTGAGCAACAATTAATTGGCCAATCGGCTGCCAACTTGGCAAAGCAAAATAACTGAACACATATTGACAGCCCCCACCCCTTGCACACTGTCGACTGCGACGTTAACGGATTATGTTAAGCGAATGACGTAGCCAGTTTCACGCACTATCAAAACAAGCTGCGTCGCACGATTAGATTTCGTTTTTTTATTGTTATTTGAATTTCTGCTGCTGCTGCTGCTGCGTTGTTGCTTTGCTTGTTATTCTATATTGGGAGTATACCGTTACACACTGGGAACGCAGCGCGTTGCGTTCTGCCCACGAAACAAGTTATTACTACGACGCGCAGAACGCATTCAATGCCTGCTGCCGCTGCCTGCTGCCTGCTGCCTGGCCTCTGCTCGCTGGCTGCGCTGCGTCGCTGCATTCAACTGCGGGCGGCAACTGTTGATAAGCGAACGAAGAAAAGACGTTCACAACAGAGACAGACAGCGCAGCTGGCAGCGCAGTTCGCAGTTCGCAGCTATGATTACTGATTGTTGACTGTCTTCGCGCTGTCGATGTGCTTGTTTACGTATCGGGATCTCTTCTTGTTGACGTAGCAGCCACATATACATGCATATACGTCCATGTGTATGTATGTGCATGCATATGCTTACATACAAATATGAACAACGGACACAAAGTGCAAATTTAATCGCCGCAAAACAAAGAGTCCACACACCGAGCGAATATCTATGTGTGTGTGTGTGTGTGTGTGTATAGGAATAACCATAGCATCCCCAGCGCAATGCTGCTTAGACAAGACACTCTTTGCCGCTCGACGCTCGACGCTTGACGAACGGCGATCGGCGCTCGTTGCGTTATTATCTTTGAGCGTGTGCTCCATTTTCATAACGTCGGTCGAAGTCGAAGTCGAAGTCGATTATGTGCACTGCAAGAAATTACGTAGAGCGCGAGCTTTGGAAAGCTGCTCGCTTTGCTGCAAAGTCTCTTTCACTCTCTCTTCCATGCTCACGCACTCAGACAGCTGATGGAAAGCCAAAAAGAGTTGATCTTTGATCTTCGGATTAGTATTGCGCAGGTATGTTGCTTATCAATTTTTGGGTTTACAGTTAATTGGAACTAAGTAGTAGAATGCAACTTCGACACTGAGTGTTAATTTTAGAACAGACATTCGCGTAATCTAATTAGCGCTATAAAATAGATAAGTCTCGTTAAAAGTGAAATTGCGTCTTGGCTGAGTTAATGCCATTTACGACAAATTCTCGCAGTTTTCTCTATCAATTAACAGTTTTTAATTGTTGTAGCACAATTTCTCTTTGTGTACTCAAGATGCAGTACCAAGCTGCCGCCCTGTTTACGCACTCTTTGTCTTCCAGATTCCTTATGCGGGAGACACACACACACACACACACACACACACAGAGAGAAAGGTATATATTTAGTTGTGCATATTATCTGAATCTGGACACATATTTGCACATGTTAATTCACATATGCTTATTATAAGTATAATTATAGAGCTGTAAAATAGCTGATAAATGCACGAGTCGAGTTATTGAACCTTATTCAAGTATATTCTGCATTTATCAGTTTAGTCAAGCGTTTATATTAATCGTTGTGTGTCCACATGTTTTTTTCACCCCACAACCTTGCTCTTACCTCCTGCGTAGTCAGCGAAGCTTGAAAGCGTGCTATTTATTTTGTCAATCAATGTAAGTGCCGGAATTAACATATACCCTTCACGAAGTGCTTACGTAAAAGCTCTCTCCCTTTCGCTATCATTCTTAAACGTTTTTGTATAAAAGCTGGATAAATAAAAAGTAAAATTCAGCTGAATATAGGGTATTTGACTGTTGCATATGCAAGCGCTTACTTGGCATTCTCTTTAACTCTTTCATTCTTAAACGTTTTAATGAAAAATCTGGCTTGCTTAAGAAATAGAAAGTAAGATTAGAACTACAGCGGACTGTAGGGCATTCGACTCTCACATTTGCATGTGCTTCCCTGGCGTAAAAGCTCTCCCCTTTCTCACTCCCTCCCTCATTCTTGAACGTTTTGATGAAGAATAATAAAAATGTATAACTATGAAAAAGCTCTCTCTCTTTTGCAGTGGACTATGGAAACTGTGACTCTGTCTCACATATGCATGCGCTTACTTGGCGTAAAAGCTTTCTCTTTTGCTCCCTCATCCTTAAACGTTTTGAATGAGCGAAAATGAATTTAAGATATTTACGGAAGCCTAACAAATATGTTTTTAAAGCTGAGTGTAGTGTAATCGATAGTCAGATATGTTGGCAAGGCGTGGTTTTGCTTATTTGCCACATTTAGCAAAATCATTCAAACAAATGATAGCCTTTTTGAACTTTGTTCGAAGCACTGAAATGATTAAGTTGACGACTCGACTGATGAATATTTCAATAAAGAAATGTTTTCGTGCGCTTAATGGCTTTTCAATAATAAGCTCCGAGGCCTTCACAGATCTCTCGATGCGAACATAGTTGAGAATATATATATATATATATGACAAGCTTGGGGAAGGAAGTATACACATTTTGGTCTTGTATTAAACTGACATTTCGGGCAAATAAAATACAATTTTCATGCTTTAAGCAATTTAGTGGGCTGTAATTACATAAGTCTTTCAATTCTTGCTTGACAAGCTTGTTTTAGTGCGAAATACTTTGCGTCGATTCGTGTGGGGGACATTTCAAGCTGTTATCACAGCTGTGGGAGCTACGTCAATTGCCAACAGACACATCGGGAGCGCTTCGCATTATCGCCGCCTTTTAAAAGACCCACATTGCATTCATTTCCTACATTGCTCATTTAACAAAACAAAAAAAAAACGCTCTGCCTGGTCTTATCAGGCTGGAGTACTTGATGCTAAGCCGTCGGAAAGGCACTTTTCAATTATTTTCAAATGCCAATACTTGTGTACACACACATATACACATTTACATATATATATAAATATATATATATATATATATATATATATATATATGTATATGCGTGTATATGTTTAGTTGCCAGATAGCCAGGGATCAAGTGCCAAAAATAGTTTCAAAAAGTTTATCTAAAAACAAACGATTTTTTACCCACATATTCAAATTCAAAATTCTGGTGTCTATACGAGGAGACGTTGGGTATGCCTATTTATGATTCATAATGCGAGTTTGCTGCGATATTCTGCTTCGTAAGTTTGAAAATTCTGACTCTAATTGTACCTGCTGCTGTGCCGCCTTACCTGGGCAATTGATAGCACGCAAGCCCATGGCCCATTCGTTTATTATATACACTTCGCCAAAAGGGTTTATCCAAAATTGTTGTCACCTAAAGTGAAGTCAAGTTGTATGTTCCAGCTCAAGCTGTCCGTCTGTTGATTTAAAGCGCTTTGTTTATGGAAAATGGGAGGGCATTTCGGGCTTAAACTGTTGCCAGGCGAATGGCCAGCACACTCGTGGCCAGAATAATAGGCACACATGCCTGAATATGCCTATATTTTACATTTACATCGAAAATTATTGAGATTCTTCTTCACAATTAGCTAAAACTGGAGGGAACATTTAATTTTGGTCCATATTCAATAGAAATGGCATCCAAATAATTGTTGATTCTCCAAAAAAGATATCTTAAGCTAAGTGCATGGAAATTCGAATCGATTTCTATGTTTATATATCATTAAAGGGTATTTGGTCTTTGGCCAAACGTGGCCAGTTTTTTGTTTATTGCCTTTAATATTTATGAGATCGTTAAAACAAATGCGCGCCATTTTGTATGTCAGTTTACATAAACAGAAAGGTCGCATGCAACCCGGTTAGCCTTATTCGCATACAAAGTCGTAATGCGCTTAGAGTTGGGGCATTTGTGGCTTGAATAGGCGTAACAGTGTATGTGTGTGTGTGTGCGTCTGGGTGTCATCGATGTAGTTCAAGGTCGCCGTCTGCCAATTAACCTTGCAGCAGCCGTGGCAAAGTTGGATAATTTTTCGAAAACCTTACTCATGGGCCGACAGAGTTTCCCAGAGTTTCTGGAAATGCGACAACTGCTGGGGAAAAAATGCTTTGAAAAAAAAGAGCGACTTAATATGCAAAGCAAATTCTGCGTAGTACTTAATATAGTTGTTCTCACTAAGCTTGTGAGAGTTAATACGAAATACCCGTGCGGCGCTTGGGCAAACACTTTTAGCTCCAAGTACAGCACTTTGTGTATTCTATTTCCTGTACAATTTCCAGCCCAACTGCAATGCAAATGCAACTAGTTTTTTTTTTTTTTAGGTTTTGTTTTTTCTGTTTTAATTTCTGTTTTTCCATGGCAGCTGACTGCGTGTTATTTCCACAGCAAATGTGCATGGACATTTTTTCAATATTTATGTTAAGATTTAAGATATTTATTCAAGATTGCGATTCTAGGGTAAATACGTTGCAAGAGTGACACAACAACAACAACAACAGAAACAACAAAAAGAGCGAACAAATCTTAATGCAACCTTGCGCAATGGCGAGGCTTGTGTCAAGTTGGACAACAACAACAAGCAGCAAGAGTTATAGCAACATTTGTTGTTGTAATTTGTAGTTGCCGCATAAATTCTTGCTGTTATTTTTGTCTGTTTCGCAAAAGCAACAACAACAAGCAACAACAAGCGACAACAAATGTGAGTCATTTACTTGTTTTTGGGCATATAATCATTTGCGTGTATGTGGAAATCAAAGATATGTTTGTTGTCGTTGCACGTTTTGGAATCGACAGCATAAAATGAAACGAAACGAAACGAAAGACTTCAATGCAAGCAACAAACTTGTTTTTATCAGCGCACATGAAACAAAAAAAAAACAAAAAACAAAAACAAGCACACAAAATACAACAAATAGCAAAAGCAGCGCAGCAACGAAGCACGCGCCGCAGCAACAACAACAACCAACATGCAAGACAACGGCATTCATGCGAGCTTTTATCAGTTGCATTGTGCGAGGCGAGCTTTTACGCTGCACTCCACCCAACGCAGCGATCGCTGAGCACCGAAGCTTACGCTCGCTTTTGACGCCGACGTCGCTGACCGTTCGCGCTGTTACCTGTTTATCTGGTTTTTTGTCGCAATTCAAGCTGAGCTTGAGCTTTTGCAACAGCGACTGCGACGGCGACAGCGACGTCGACAGCGACGGCGACTGCGAATGCGACTTGGTGGCCGCCGTCTAAACATCTTTCGAAGTGCGCGCATTTCAAGTCTTCAGTTACTCAGCGGCTTTGCTAGCGTTCAAGTCGTTGCCGTTTGCCGTTAGCCGTTTCCCGTTGCCGTTTGCCGTTTGCCGGGTGCGTTCAACTTAAATTAAAGCCAAGAATCTTGATTGCATATAACACACACTGTCAAAGCCCGACTCGTGCTCGCTCTAAGTGTGCGTGTGTGTGTGTGTGTGTGTCTGTGTGTGTGTGTGAGTGTTGTTTGTCTATGTGTTAATTTTTACTATTTTGAAATGCCTGCGGTCGCCTTGCTGTTGTTGTTGTTGTTGTTGTTGCTGTTGTGTTTGCTGCTGCTGCTGCTGCTGGCGTTTGTCTTTTGCCTTTTGCCTGTTTTGTGTCTTTCACAAAAAATATCGAAGCGGGCAACAAGTGTACTTACACTTGCCCACCGCGCACAGTGGTCGCATTCCAGCGCAGTAAAAGTTGCAAACTGGCCAAGATACATAATATGCCACATCGATATGGCCAAAACAAACACAATTACATATATACATATATTTATATATGAATATATATGTATATAGCTGTAGATATCATGGCGCAAGACCTTGCCAGTAGGCCCAGCCAAATGAAACCAAATGAACATGCCTATTGACTTTAAGAGCGTCGCTGCCAAAGCGGAAAATCATTAAGATACATGTGTATCTGCACACACACACACACACACACACACACACACACGCACACATGCATTTGACGTTCAGTTGTATTTGTACGTGCATAGTTTTTATGATTACTTATGTGGAAAAAGTGAAATTTCGCTGTTGACGCCACACGAAGAAGAAGCAGCAGCAGCAGCAGCCACTCGAAAACGAAATAAAAGCTAAACATCAAAATCAAAGTGTAGCGCGCACAACATTAAATAAATAAATACACGAGCTGGCCAAAGCGCTGACCACATAACCAATGCCAAGCTCCCAAATATCCGTTTTATCGGAAAGAGAGCGACGGAACAGAGGAGAGAGAGAGAGAAAGAGAGAGAACGAGCGTGTGCGCACGCTTATCCGGCAAAGTAAAAGCCCTTATGGCAGAGCTTGCGGCACCGTTAAAATGATTCATTTTGTAAAAATTGCGTGCGCTGCGACAATTGTCGCGCTCTTTGTTGTTAACAGTTATAACTTAAATAACATGTTGCGGCAACAAGCACAAAAACTGACCTACTGCCAAGATGGAACTCCAGTTGTCACTGAGACACGCCATTGTTTCACTTCAAAAATAACCAAAAAAAAAAAAAAAAAATATGGCAATTTTAAATCACTTTATTGTGGCTATTATCAAATGCAACCAAAAACAAAAGCAACAGACAAAAATTAAAAATGAAAAAAACTTTAAATAAAACAAAAATTGTCAACAGCTCGTCGCTCAGTTTTTGGCCCGGCCAGTGTCAGCGGCAGCAACAACAAATTTGCCTCCAAAATTGGGTCAGGGTAATTGTTTACACTAAGTAGCAGCTACTGCTACTGCTACTGCTACTGCTGCTGCTACTGCTGCTGCTGCTGTTGTTGTTGTTTTAAACGCAGTGAAATTATGCGGCATCATGCGGCTGCTGGCATTGATTGCAACTCGCTCTCGAAGCTCGGCTCCACTTTCAGCTCGATTCTCGCAGCGCGTGCAGCTAGTTAGCCACTCAGCAGTTCATTTAGAAAGTAAGTTTTCTATTGAAGCTGGGTTCTGGTTAAGTGCAAAAAAGCGATTTCACGCTAAACGCCCAACAGTTGTTAATTAAAAAAAAACACCAACAGCAGCAGCAGCAGCAAATACAATTACTAGAAATGGAAATACAATAATTATGCTTAACTGATTACATCAGTTGCTGATGAACATTTGAAGAAAGTTGGCTCCGATAAGAATTTCTAAGTCAACATTTATTGCCTAGCTTAAGGCGCAGCGTTAAAACAAACAAAAATGCGCTAGTTCCTGCTATTAAAAATTAGCGCTTATTAAGAGCAGACTTAGTTGCTTGCTTTAAGTTCAATAGATCATGTCCGTTAACTTGAACCTAGCTCTTCTTTCCCTTGAATATTCAACAAACAAGTTGTATATTTCGCTTATCCAGCTAATTCCAGTTGGAGTTTGGTGAATTTCCCACTTCCACTAGCAGCAGCTGCAGTCTAATCAGTCAGAACAAACAGCTTTGTACATAGATAAAGGCTGTGACAGACACAGGCTGGCTGCTATGACTGCATGCGCTCAGGAGTCTTGCTTTAAAAGCTGCAGCATGTGCAAGTTTTATCGTTCTTGTTAATTCTTTTGCTGATAAGAAACAGCTGTTATCGCAGCGGGTCAGGGCTTGGCAACAGTACACCTGTATATATATATATATATAGACTTTCATAATGCTCAGTTATTTCTGTATAAACATTGCAGGCCATTCCACAGAATATCACCTGGCTTCGACAATCATCTTTTTGCGATTTCTAATCAAAGCGGCTAACAAAACACAATTTCTATATATTGCATATCATATACGATATGCTTGCGATTTTGCAGCTCGCATTGGCATTCAATGAACTCGCACATGCCAGTTTTCAAAAAAAAGACAAGGTGCAAAAAAAAAAACAACTGTGGCCAAAAGCATTTTAAAATTCATTGGCCAAAGCAATTTGTTGGCTGATTTATGGGCTGGCTCAATGTTTTGGGGACCCGCAAATGATTATGAGCCGAGTGTCAACCGAGAAGCGCACAAAATAATAATTATTAGTTAATTACTATTCAATACGCATAAAGACGTCGACTGCGTGCGCACAGGTGGAGCTGGACGTGGCCCAAGTTTTTGGCATTCTGGCGTCAATAACTGTTGGATGCGCGTGTATTTGTATCTGAGCTGCGTTTTTATTGTATCTAACAGCAGGGGCGACCTTCAGAGCGCACAAAACTCTGTGAAATACGCGAGCCAACTCAGGTGTGTGTGTGCGGCTGTATGTGTGTGTGTGTGCTTGTGTGTGTGTCTGTCTATGGCTCAAAGTACAACATTTAAAAAAACAGTTTAAATCAAACTTATTGAAGTGAAAGATACTCTGTAAAAAGTATTGCTAGCTATGGCTCTTTTATTAACTAAGAACTGGTCTCCAGTTTGAGGAAGTAAAAGATACCCTGTGAAAAAGACAATCGGGTATTTGCTAACTACTAGACATAAAGATGCTTCCTTTTGAGTATTGTGACAGTAATTGTATTACACGCTGTTAGATACCCTGTACTAGGCTTTAAGAAACCTTAGACCTACTCTATCGTGACATAAACTGTATTCCACACTGGGAGATACCCTGTAGCAGAGTTTAAGATGCCCTAAGCCCACTTTTCATAAATATAGCTCCGATACTAATTTAGCACTTTATTAGACTAAAAAAAAAATGCGCTCTTAAATTCTTTTAAATACTAGACTCTCAGATACCCTGCAAATGTTTTGCTCACTGCAGCTCTCATATTTACTGTCTAACAGACCGCCAGAAGTTCTATATCAACTTCTATTCTGTTGCACTAGTCTCATACTTATTATATACCGCATTATTAGTTACCCTTCCCAAAAGTAACAGATACCCTGTAACAAATGTTCTTAACTACAACTCCTTTAGATTTCTGGGTATTGTGACTACTGGCAACTGACTAGTTACAATTGTAAGCTCAACAAAAATATACCCTGTATTAATCTTTTTTGACTCCGAAACAAAGTTTGTTAGATACCCTGTACGGAATTACTTCTTCAAAATTTACTGCACATTTTAGGATTTTTCTGCACGAATTGTTGCTGTGTTTAGTTCTAATGCTTACAGTATACTAGACTATAGATACCCTGCAATAAGTTAACCTGGCTTAAGCATGACTGTAATTTACCCTGTGCCAGACTTGGTATTCCTTAGCTGTTTTACTGTCTGATTAGCTGTCTGTCAGATATGCTCTACCAACTTAAGGATACCCTGTACGAAATTTGTAAAGTACCGAACAAATAAATGCCTACAGTCTGCTCTTCAGTCAACGCCCAAGTACAGGGTATGTCAAGCAGCAACTACAAAAAAATGCAGCTAAAAGAAAACATAAAGCTGTGGCTTGGTAGTCGAGCATTTCCGCAACATGGTCAATTGCTGTTTAACCGCAAATAAACAGAAACCAGCCCGACACGCAGATATGCGTTTTCCCAACGCGTAACTGAAACGTGCCCATAAGCCAATTGTACAATTGCCAAGCAGAGTTGGCCGTAAACAAGCTGCAGATACATTTGATCAGGTATCCCATAGATACAATGCCTCGAGCTTGTGTGTGTGATAAGCTTTGGGCCCATAGACGCCACCTTGACGTGGCTGTAAGAACTTTTAAGTTTTAAGTTTCAACTGCATTCCGCTTAGTGAAAAAGATCTTGATTGTTAACAACTAGATAAAATGGCAAATTGACGCACTGCCAATTAACAATTTTCGTTGTTCAAATTTTCTATTGTTTCGTGCGGCGCTTGCAAATGGCCGGGCTAATAAATGTATTCATCAAAGTCAATTTTTTTTGTCGAATGTTTTATGATATGCCTGTGCCTGCAATTGTCAATAATAAAGCATTTTAAAAGCAAACAGGCAATGCTTTATAGAAATTATGGCTCAACAACAACAACAATGTTGAGGCCCTGGCCTCGGTCAAGGTGTTTGCCAAAATTAAAATTAAGTTTTTTTTTTTTTATTTTCTTAACATTATTTTTTTTTAATATATGCGTATGCGTATACGCTCATGTATCTCGAGCCTGGCTATTAAGACGCTCAGCGTTACGGCAACAACATTTTTTTTTTAATTGCCCCAACGATGTGGCTGGAAGTCGGAGCTGAAGTTGGAGTCAAAGTCGGAGGTTAAGCGGCGGCTTCCATGTGGACTCTATCCATGTGCCCCCGCCCCCAGTCGAGTCTAGGCCCATTGTCAACAACAACAAAGCGTTTAGCGCGAACAACTCATTTGTAAACGTTTACAAAATTGTTGAAAAAGCTCTAGAAAACTATAGAAAACAATACTTATGTCAGGCACTTTAGGCAAGAGCCAAAGATTAATGCTGACTGGCAAGGTTCTTAAAAGCAAAAAAATAACAAAAGAGAAAGAGAGACAGAGAGAGAGGGAGTATTTAAATTGTCGTCTGATAAATGGACAAAACTGAAGAAAATATAAAACAAAATACATAAACAATACACAACACACAAAACACAAGGCCAGCTCGCCCAGAAACGTGTCTGAGTTTGAGGTTCGGAGCGTGGCCCTCTCTTAACAAGTTAAACTTGACTGCGCTACACTTTAGACCTGTGCATATAGAACCTAAGACATCTATACGACAATAATAATAATAACAATCATCATAAGCAAGATCATCATCATCATCATCATCATCATCATCATCATCATCGTCGTCAAAGCTCTCAAACTTTGCCCGGCAATCAACATCTCATATGTCTATATGCATTCCTAGACTTGACTTTCATAAACCAGCCGAGTTTACGATTCATTCCTTTTTTTTTTTTATTAAAACGAGATTTTTTTAATCGTTGTGCTATCTTTTTTTTTAATAATTTCTGCTTTTTTAGTACAGAACCTGAAGGCGCATCACATTTGACAACAACATGAACGGACCCAAACACAAACTCTGCACCAAACTATCCAGCACATATCTGCGCAAATGGTGTAAGTAGATTCAAAACAAATTAAACTAGTCAATTTTATAAGCAAATTTGAAGGTTATGTTGAATTGCACATAAAACTGGTTTAAGCGCAGCCAACTTAATAGCCTCGCATTGCGTGGCGTTGCCAGATGGCTAAGGTTATCATTTGTAGAGGGCAAGGAAAACAGCATACATTTGAAGTTAATTTGAAATTCCATTATTCATCAATCAATAGTTTGGACAAGTAAGCCGTATTTAAATGTAGATAAAAGTTTATAGCTTATTGGTCTTGCCAGCTGAATTAGCTGCGTTTGAAATTTACCACCCCCATATCTCGGCCAAATCTCATCCGATTTTCACGAAGTTTGGCTTTTTCTTCATGGTTTTCCCTTTAGATTAATCTGGCATTCAAATCTCGACACCGATTTTTTGGTTGAAATTCATGTCCAAATCTTACCCCAAGATTCGTATATAGACATGGGTCAAAATTTACCACCCCCATATCCCGGCCAAATCTCATCCGATTTTCACGAAGTTTGGCTTTTTCTTCATGGTTTTCCCTTTAGATTAATCTGGCATTCAAATCTCGACACCGATTTTTTGGTTGAAATTCATGTCCAAATCTTACCCCAAGATTCGTATATAGACATGGGTCAAAATTTACCACCCCCATATCTCGGCCAAATCTCATCCGATTTTCACGAAGTTTGGCATTTTCTTCATGGTTTTCCCTTTAGATTAATCTGGCACTCAAATCTCGACACCGATTTTTTGGTCGAACTTCATGTGCAAATCTTACCCCAAGATTCGTATATAGACATGGGTCAAAATTTACCACCCCTATATCTCGGCCAAATCTCATCCGATTTTCACGAAGTTTGGCTTTTTCTTCATGGTTTTCCCTCTAGATTAATGTGGCATTTAAATCTCGACACCGATTTTTTGGTCGAACTTCATGTCCAAATCTTACCCCAAGATTCGTATATAGACATGGGTCAAAATTTACCACCCCCATATCTCGGCCAAATCTCATCCGATTTTCTCGAAGTTTGGCTTTTTCTTCATGGTTTTCCCTCTAGATTATTGTGGCAATCAAATCTCGACACCGATTTTTTAGTCGAAATTCATGTCCAAATCTTACCCCAAGATTCGTATATAGACATGGGTCAAAATTTACCACCCCTATATCTCGGCCAAATCTCATCCGATTTTCACGAAGTTTGGCTTTTTCTTCATGGTTTTCCCTCTAGATTAATGTGGCATTTAAATCTCGACACCGATTTTTTGGTCGAACTTCATGTCCAAATCTTACCCCAAGATTCGTATATAGACATGTGTCAAAATTTACCACCCCCATATCTCGGCCAAATCTCATCCGATTTTCACGAAGTTTGGCTTTTTCTTCATGGTTTTCCCTCTAGATTATTGTGGCATTCAAATCTCGACACCGATTTTTTGGTCGAAATTCATGTCCAAATCTTACCTCAAGATTCGTATATAGACATGTGTCAAAATTTACCACCCCCATATCTCGGCCAAATCTCATCCGATTTTCACGAAGTTTGGCTTTTTCTTCATGGTTTTCCCTCTAGATTAATGTGGCATTCAAATCTCGACACCGATTTTTTAGTCGAAATTCATGTCCAAATCTTACCCCAAGATTCGTATATAGACATGGGTCAAAATTTACCACCCCCATATCTCGGCCAAATCTCATCCGATTTTCACGAAGTTTGGCTTTTTCTTCATGGTTTTCCCTCTAGATTAATGTGGCATTCAAACCTCGACACCGATTTTTTGGTCGAAATTCATGTCCAAATCTTACCTTAAGATTCGTATATAGACATGGGTCAAAATTTACCACCCCCATATCTCGGCCAAATCTCATCCGATTTTCACGAAGTTTGGCTTTTTCTTCATGGTTTTCCCTTTAGATTAATCTGGCATTCAAATCTCGACACCGTTTTTTTGGTCGAAATTCATGTCCAAATCTTACCCCAAGATTCGTATATAGACATGGGTCAAAATTTACCACCCCCATATCTCGGCCAAATCTCATCCGATTTTCACGAAGTTTGGCTTTTTCTTCATGGTTTTCCCTCTAGATTATTGTGGCAATCAAATCTCGACACCGATTTTTTAGTCGAAATTCATGTACAAATCTTACCCCAAGATTCGTATATAGACATGGGTCAAAATTTACCACCCCCATATCTCGGCCAAATCTCATCCGATTTTCACGAAGTTTGGCTTTTTCTTCATGGTTTTCCCTCTAGATTATTGTGGCAATCAAATCTCGACACCGATTTTTTAGTCGAAATTCATGTCCAAATCTTACCCCAAGATTCGTATATAGACATGGGTCAAAATTTACCACCCCCATATCTCGGCCAAATCTCATCCGATTTTCACGAAGTTTGGCTTTTTCTTCATGGTTTTCCCTCTAGATTAATGTGGCATTCAAAACTCGACACCGATTTTTTGGTCGAACTTCATGTCCAAATCTTACCCCAAGATTCGTATATAGACATGGGTCAAAATTTACCACCCCCATATCTCGGCCAAATCTCATCCGATTTTCTCGAAGTTTGGCTTTTTCTTCATGGTTTTTCCTCTAGATTAATGTGGCAATCAAATCTCGACACCGATTTTTTAGTCGAAATTCATGTCCAAATCTTACCCCAAGAGTCGTATATAGACATGGGTCAAAATTTACCACCCCCATATCTCGGCCAAATCTCATCCGATTTTCACGAAGTTTGGCTTTTTCTTCATGGTTTTCCCTCTAGATTAATGTGGCAATCAAATCTCGACACCGATTTTTTAGTCGAAATTCATGTCCAAATCTTACCCCAAGATTCATATATAGACATGGGTCAAAATTTACCACCCCCATATCTCGGCCAAATCTCATCCGATTTTCTCGAAGTTTGGCTTTTTCTTCATGGTTTTCCCTCTAGATTAATGTGGCATTCAAATCTCGACACCGATTTTTTGGTCGAAATTCATGTCCAAATCTTACCTTAAGATTCGTATATAGACATGGGTCAAAATTTACCACCCCCATATCTCGGCCAAATCTCATCCGATTTTCACGAAGTTTGGCTTTTTCTTCATGGTTTTCCCTCTAGATTAATGTGGCAATCAAATCTCGACACCGATTTTTTAGTCGAAATTCATGTCCAAATCTTACCCCAAGATTCGTATATAGACATGGGTCAAAATTTACCACCCCCATATCTCGGCCAAATCTCATCCGATTTTCACGAAGTTTGGCTTTTTCTTCATGGTTTTCCCTCTAGATTAATGTGGCAATCAAATCTCGACACCGATTTTTTAGTCGAAATTCATGTCCAAATCTTACCCCAAGATTCGTATATAGACATGGGTCAAAATTTACCACCCCCATATCTCGGCCAAATCTCATCCGATTTTCTCGAAGTTTGGCCTTTTCTTCATGGTTTTCCCTCTAGATTAATGTGGCATTCAAATCTCGACACCGATTTTTTGGTCGAAATTCATGTCCAAATCTTACCTCAAGATTCGTATATAGACATGTGTCAAAATTTACCACCCCCATATCTCGGCCAAATCTCATCAGATTTTCACGAAGTTTGGCTTTTTCTTCATGGTTTTCCCTCTAGATTAATGTGGCATTCAAATCTCGACACCGATTTTTTGGTCGAAATTCATGTCCAAATCTTACCTTAAGATTCGTATATAGACATGGGTCAAAATTTACCACCCCCATATCTCGGCCAAATCTCATCCGATTTTCACGAAGTTTGGCTTTTTCTTCATGGTTTTCCCTCTAGATTAATGTGGCATTCAAATCTCGACACCGATTTTTTGGTCGAAATTCATGTCCAAATCTTACCTCAAGATTCGTATATAGACATGTGTCAAAATTTACCACCCCCATATCTCGGCCAAATCTCATCCGATTTTCACGAAGTTTGGCTTTTTCTTCATGGTTTTCCCTTTAGATTAATCTGGCATTCAAATCTCGACACCGATTTTTTGGTCGAACTTCATGTCCAAATCTTACCCCAAGATTCGTATATAGACATGGGTCAAAATTTACCACCCCCATATCTCGGCCAAATCTCATCCGATTTTCACGAAGTTTGGCTTTTTCTTCATGGTTTTCCCTCTAGATTATTGTGGCAATCAAATCTCGACACCGATTTTTTAGTCGAAATTCATGTCCAAATCTTACCCCAAGATTCGTATATAGACATGGGTCAAAATATACCACCCGCATATCTCGGCCAAATCTCATCCGATTTTCACGAAGTTTGGCTTTTTCTTCATGGTTTTCCCTCTAGATTAATGTGGCATTCAAATCTCGACACCGATTTTTTAGTCGAAATTCATGTCCAAATCTTACCCCAAGATTCGTATATAGACATGGGTCAAAATTTACCACCCCCATATCTCGGCCAAATCTCATCCGATTTTCACGAAGTTTGGCTTTTTCTTCATGGTTTTCCCTCTAGATTAATGTGGCATTCAAATCTCGACACCGATTTTTTGGTCGAAATTCATGTCCAAATCTTACCTCAAGATTCGTATATAGACATGTGTCAAAATTTACCACCCCCATATCTCGGCCAAATCTCATTCGATTTTCACGAAGTTTGACTTTTTCTTCATGGTTTTCCCTCTAGATTAATGTGGCAATCAAATCTCGACACCGATTTTTTAGTCGAAATTCATGTCCAAATCTTACCCCAAGATTCGTATATAGACATGGGTCAAAATTTACCACCCCCATATCTCGGCCAAATCTCATCCGATTTTCACGAAGTTTGGCTTTTTCTTCATGGTTTTCCCTCTAGATTAATGTGGCTTTCAAATCTCGACACCGATTTTTTGGTCGAAATTCATGTCCAAATCTTACCTCAAGATTCGTATATAGACATGGGTCAAAATTTACCACCCCCATATCTCGGCCAAATCTCATCCGATTTTCACGAAGTTTGACTATTTCTTCATGGTTTTCCCTCTAGATTAATCTGGCATTCAAATCTCGACACCGATTTTTTGGTCGAAATTCATGTCCAAATCTTACCTCAAGATTCGTATATAGACATGGGTCAAAATTTACCACCCCCATATCTCGGCCAAATCTCATTCGATTTTCACGAAGTTTGACTTTTTCTTCATGGTTTTCCCTCTAGATTAATGTGGCAATCAAATCTCGACACCGATTTTTTAGTCGAAATTCATGTCCAAATCTTACCCCAAGATTCGTATATAGACATGGGTCAAAATTTACCACCCCCATATCTCGGCCAAATCGCATCCGATTTTCACGAAGTTTGACTATTTCTTCATGGTTTTCCCTCTAGATTAATCTGGCATTCAAATCTCGACACCGATTTTTTGGTCGAAATTCATGTCCAAATCTTACCTCAAGATTCGTATATAGACATGGGTCAAAATTTACCACCCCCATATCTCGGCCAAATCTCATTCGATTTTCACGAAGTTTGACTTTTTCTTCATGGTTTGCCCTCTAGATTAATGTGGCAATCAAATCTCGACACCGATTTTTTAGTCGAAATTCATGTCCAAATCTTACCCCAAGATTCGTATATAGACATGGGTCAAAATTTACCACCCCCATATCTCGGCCAAATCTCATCCGATTTTCACGAAGTTTGACTATTTCTTCATGGTTTTCCCTCTAGATTAATCTGGCATTCAAATCTCGACACCGATTTTTTGGTCGAAATTCATGTCCAAATCTTACCTCAAGATTCTTATATAGACATGGGTCAAAATTTACCACCCCCATATCTCGGCCAAATCTCATCCGATTTTGACGAATGAAATAAAATGAAATGCCATTCCCATTAAAACCCAGATGAATTCCGTATTGTATTGAATTTAAATTCAATTGTTTGCACAGACAGTTAATCTCAAAGTAACGTAACTTTTTTACAAAGGATCAGGCGCAGCCATCTTCAAAAGCTAGTGAAGCTTTTTGGTGCTGCCAGACGGCTTGCAATATCAATAGCTCAAATAAATCGTTAAGTCCCTCCCTTCGTATCATCAAGCAATGCTAAGTTATTTTCCTAAACGCGTTTACTCAATGCAGGTTAATTATAAAATATTGCGGCTTGTTTCCGTATTGTATTGAAAAGAAATTCAATCAGTCACAGACTTATAAAAGCCGACATAGCAAAACGATTGCAATTAAAATAAAACTAATCGTAGAACTTGTGAATTAATTTCGTCATTAAACTTAAATGTTATTGTGGGTTTTATTGCTCAGACGTAACAATCAATCAATATGCAGAGACTTTGCCGCAGCCAACTTAACAAGCTAGTGAAACATTTGGGGGTTGCCAGATGTCTAAAGATGCACTTTAAATAATGATTAAGGCAAAAGAAATTGTAGTCATAGAATACATATCTTCGCATTAGGTAAAGTTATGTTACATTCCGGCAAGATAGTTAATAGGGGTGTCATTTATATAAGAGCCCAGATTATTTCCGTATTGTATTGAAATCAAATTCAATTATTACCAAGTGAATAGCTAGACACAATCTTATGGAACACATGCCAATGGATTTGTGGTTTCCTATGACTGGTTATACTGGTATGTCAATTTCGAATTCTAATTGATTCCATGGGAGATACACACGTTATTTATATAAACATATATATACAGGTATTTGCATAGCTTGAACACTTTGAAGATGGTTTTGTTCGGCGCTTTCTTGACATTGTGACGCTCTGTGAAGGTCTTTTACACCAAGCTAGACAGTTATTCTACCAGTCAGCTATATTGATGTTTACCCGGCGTCAAGTTTTTGTTTTCACACATTCTTGATGAATCATTCGAAAATTTATTGCGTTCTGAAATTTCGTAAATATGTAATTCGAATCGAGTACGCAAGTCTAGAGTTTCAAAGACAAGAATATATATGTTGGATAAATACAATTAATATCGAGATCTGACTTCAAGTGTTATGTGGACGCATAACTGGTATTTGAGTTAGTTAAGCTTTAATAAATGCATTTTGATAAGTCGACTTTCAGGAAAAACTAGCCAACTATTGTGCCAAACAAAAACAAAATAAAAACCTTTAATTTATGTAATTATTCAATCAGATGATTAATAGCTAATTGCAGGCCGTGTTATTGTGGAATTTAATTCGATTGTATAAGTTGAATTAATTAAGAGAACAGCAGCTTAAAGTTGAAAGATCAGATGAGAAGCCAAGATGAGCTCGAAGACATTAACAAATGTATTAAGAAGAATCACGGAATCAACTTTTAGATAAGTTAATGCAGATAAACTAGACTTATATTCAATCTATCTCAGATGGCGCGTGCTTAGATATCAAAACTTTGCTAGAAACTTATCTACAAGCTTATCGAATACGTTCGTAAAGAAATCTAAAGAAGTTTTCATTCTCATATGAAAAATATGTATACAAATTCTTAACAGACATTAGGACTATTATTTATTGGACTTACATCCATATAGATATATCTGCATTATTCACAGATCAATTAAAAGATATTGTTAATTGGATTGTGATTCAAAAGAAACTCAAACTCAACTTCAAGCTTGAGTCTTTGGTTAACCAATTAGCTAACTCAACTGTAAAACAATTCGATAAGCCCTATTTCAATTTGAAATTGACTAATTCTCAGATGTAAGCTTCATGTTCTGTGTAATACAATGATTCAGCTCTTAGGCTATTTATATACAAATCTACGATTACATCTGTAAGCCAGTGAAACTTTTTTCTGAATCAGAAGAATTAGAAAAGCGGCAGCTTAAAATAAGATAAAATTAAGTTTGGGCTCGACTAATTGACTATTTTTGGAAGAATTAGCAAAGCGGCAGGTTAAAACAAGACAAATTTAAGATTGGTTTCGACTAATTGACTAGCTTAGAAGACTTTTAAATAGCTTCAAACGAGATAAACTTAAGTTTGATCACGACTAATTGCCTAGTTTTAGTAGAATTAGCAAATCGGCAGCTTAAAGCGAGATAAAGTTTGGTCTAGACTTATTAGAGTACGATTACGATCTATTATTGTATAAAGTTCTGCATTAAGCAGATTGTGATTCATCAGAGAAGAAGCCTAAAGAGTTGTAATTTCCAGACTTGTAAGAAGCCAAGCTGTGGCTTGGCCTTGACAACCCCGCCCATTTGATGCTCTATGATTTATTGCCAGAGTATTTCTTTGTGATTCAGCTCCGAGAAACGCATCTGTAAGATTTGATCTCATATCGTTTTACAGCCCTTCACTGGGGTTCAGTACGTGCATTGGCTGCATAATTCCAACCGATTCTCTCAGCTGACTCAGCTGTGCGATTGTTGGGCTCGCTTGTTAAATGGAATTTGTTGTTGTTGTTGAACTTTCAGGGATTACAATTGGCATTGGCGCTGTTTTGATAATTGCCGGCGTTCTGGTTGCATGCCAATTTTCGGTGCTGATCAATGCGATCATTGATCGCATGATCGCGCTGCGACCCGGCTCCAAGACCTTTGGCTGGTGGGCCAAGCCGCCCGTGGAGCCGCGCATCAGTTTGTACGTTTACAATGTGACAAATGCCGATGATTTTCTGAGCAACGGCTCCAGGGCCATTGTCGACGAGGTGGGACCCTATGTCTACAGGTGAGTCGGTGCCCCATCAATCCCAACTGAAATGTAATTGTGGCCACTTGCAGCGAGACGTGGGAAAAGGTAAACATTGTGGAGCATGACAATGGCACGCTGAGCTACAATCTGCGCAAGATCTACAAGTTCCGCGAAGATCTGTCCGCCGGCCCCGAAGATGATGTGGTCATTGTGCCCAACATACCCATGCTGAGCGCCACCTCGCAGAGCAAACATGCAGCCAGGTGAGTCACAATTTTGAACTACAATAAAAGCTTGCCCAAATTGAAATCCCAATTGCCCATGCTCGACAGATTTCTGCGCCTGGCCATGGCCAGCATTATGGACATACTGAAGATCAAGCCGTTTGTGCAGGTCTCTGTGGGCCAACTGCTCTGGGGCTACGAGGATCCGCTGCTCAAGCTGGCCAAGGATGTGGTACCCAAGGAGCAGAAGCTGCCGTACGAGGAGTTCGGCCTGCTGTACGGCAAGAACGGCACCTCATCGGATCGCGTCACCGTCTTCACGGGCACCGACAATATCAATCATTATGGCATCATTGACAAGTTCAATGGACGCACACATTTGCCGCACTGGACAACGGACGAGTGCAATCGGTTGAGCGGCACCGATGGCTCCATCTTTCCGCCGCACATCACAAAGGATCGGGTGCTGGAGGTGTACGACAAGGATCTGTGCCGTTTGCTGCCGCTGGTCTTCGAGCAGGAGGTGATGACCTCCAACGAGGTGCCCGGCTATCGCTTCACACCGCCGGAGTGGGTGTTCGCCGATGTCGATAGCCATCCGGATAACATGTGCTACTGCCCGGCCGGCAAGCCCTCCTGCTCACCCAACGGCCTCTTTAACGTGTCGCTGTGTCAATACGGTAAACGGTTTTAGCTGCCAATGAATGCCTGCTCCTAATCCTTGCTCCATTTTGTAGACTCGCCCATCATGCTGAGCTTCCCGCATTTCTATCTGGCCGATGATAGTCTGCGGACCCAGGTTGACGGCATTTCCCCGCCGGAGAAGGAGCAGCATCAGTTCTACTTTGATGTGCAGCCCGTAAGCATGTCTTTACCAACTTATCCAGCTAATCCCGCTAACACCCGCTCCACCTCCTCCTATCGTCTAGAAAATGGGCACCACTTTGAGCGTGCGCGCCCGCATCCAGATCAATTTGGCTGTCAGCCAGGTGTTTGACATCAAGCAGGTGGCCAATTTTCCGGACATCATATTCCCCATTTTGTGGTTTGAGGAGGGCATCGATTCGCTGCCGGATGAGGTAACGGATTTGATGCGTTTCGCTGAAACGATTCCGCCGAAAATCCGTGTGATTCTTATACTGGTGCTGTGCGTCCTGGGCGTGATCCTGCTCCTGCTGTCCACATTCTGTTTGATACGCAATTCGCACAGGCAGAGCACGCTGCATTTGGAGGGTTCGAACTATTTGGCCACCGCACAGGTGGACATGAACAAGAAGCAGAACAAGGACAACAATCCCAACAATGCGCGATATTAACATGTTGCCCTTGTTGTTGTTCTTCGTTTGTTTGTTTGTTTGTTCGTTTGATTTGATTTTTATAAGGGGGGCCCCCTCAAGGCGCGTTAAGTGTTAAAATGATGGATTCTTGTTTTTTAACCAGGAAACGCGCTCGCGTATGCGAATGTAGTCTAGAACAAATGGAGCTGGGAAGACTTATGTGTATGTACTTATGCATATATTCTATGTATGATAGGTCCTCGTTGTAAGTACTTATGTAATCGTTATTAAAATTTCAAGTATATTAGCTGTTAGTCTGTCTACGGTCGTGATCGTCGCTATAAGTCTCAAATTTTTGTTATTATTAACCCAGCCTGGGCAGCTGGCCAAATTCTATGTCACTAAAGGAAGAAGGAAGCGAAAAAAAAAAAGAAAAAAACTAATTAAACCTGTGCATTATTAGGGCACATGTCCAAATAAGTCACAAAAACCTAAACACAAATAAATAAAATGACAAAAAAATGCGAAAAAAAAACGATTCTCTCAAGTTCCCGTTCCCCATATAAATGTGCTTGATTAGACCAAAAGTCTGTGCGATGCGTCTCAAAGCGAACTACAGCAGAATCAATAATATTATATATCTAATATAATATAATATCTATATGTGTATGTGTGTATGTATATCGTATCGTAACGTATCGTATCGTATCTCTATATATATATATATCTGTATAATGTATATGACTCTAATGTGTACAATAAATTACGCTATTATTTTAATTAGGCACATAAAAACAAAAACCAAACCCAACATTTTTCCACAAATAGCTAGAAATTGCAATTATCGTTATGCTCACCTTCTAAGGCTCTGCCTAATGCTCCGAGAGAGTTGGTTTGGCTTTGCCAAAAATCAATTAATTGCTTTTATTCTACATATAAAATATGGCTACTTTATAATCGCAATTCTATATTTTATTTTGGTAACAAGACAACGACAGCAAATGCTTATTGTTTATTGCATACAATTAAGTTTCTTAATTTTTTTTATTTTGTGTAGGAATCAAAAACTTTCTCCAAAGAGGAGTAGGTAGAGAGTATCACTTGAATATATCGAATATATTACCAAGTTAAGTCTATTTAGTCTATTGATTTATTATTATCTCAGCTTTTAAGAGGTGTGAACGGCATTTAAAACCATATAGAATCATATTTAAAATCAATATAATAATTTACACATATATAACTATATCCATATCTGATATAAGTAGTAGTATCTCAATCAAACCGACTCTTCCGGGTGATTATCAAAGAACCCGAGTAACCTGCGAAAAGATACTCCAGGGGCTTGATCCTGAGCTGCTGCTATATCGTTTAAGGCGTTAACTCTAGTCTATTGATTTATTATTGCCTCAGCTTTGACGAGGGTTGTACTCTGATAGAGTGGTATATAGTAGAACAGGCCTTCAGGCTGAATAACAATGGAACCAAATGTGCCTCCTTATTATACCCTAAAAGTGATATAATGTATTTGTGCAAATGTATGTAAAAGGCAGCAGGAAGCATCTGCGACCCCATAAAGTATATACATTCTTGATCAGCAGCAATAGCCGAGTCGATCTAGCCATGTCTGTCTGTCTGTCTATCTGTCTGTCCGTATGTATTAACACTTTCTTCTGCCTGTAAGGAAGTTAAATGTAGTCTATTTAGTTATTATTGTCTTAACTCTTAAGCGAAATGAACGGCACGGACATAGGAAGCTTTTATGTATTCATATCTGAATATAGAAGTATCTCAATCAAAGAGACTATCAATAAATCTTTGGGTTATCGAAAAACGATCCTCAAGATACTTGCTCCCGCCCTGTTACTCTCAATCCCAGACACAGTTTCTCGGAATGCACGGAATATTTAATTGCTCAAGAGCCAGAAAGTCACTTATCAGAGTACTTTGCCATCTCATGCAGAGCATACATTAAACCGAATCAAGCGCAATACGCTCTTAAATCAAAACTGATTTGGGTTTGAATCTAAAAACAAATATCGACCTTGAATTAGGCTTAGTGCTTTTTAATTAGGCTTAATTAATTGTCCGATTCTATGAAGTTGAGAAAACTATGAACTAAACCAAAATTATATTGTTTTTAGTTGTGCATAAAAATGAAAAAAGTTCTTTAACTTGTCTATAAAAAACTTTTGAGCCTTACAACTCATTTATAAAATATTACAAAAATCCTGATAAGAATGGATCAGTCCGAAAACTTCAAATAAATAGAATATTTTAAGCAATGTAACATGTTACTTAAACATATTCCAAAACACAGTGAAGTACAGGGTGTACGCTAGTTGTCCAACTAAAGCACATTCGCATATTTTTTTGTATAGCCCAATTTTATTAGTTATAAATTCAAATTTAATGCCAGGTTAATATTTTGGCACCCAAAAAGGTGTCAAGTGTTCACCTCGCAAATGGCAACGATTTCACACGCCAGACCGGATCTCTGGCCGGTCCAGACGCACCTAGACGAAGACGAGCTGTCATCATAATAACAGTTCACTGTGGTCGGGCCAAACGGAACACACTAGCGAGGGCAAGTGCAGTCCACCAGCCGAGAGCTGATAAGCGCCGCTGTCTGTGCCTGATAACAACGCGTCCCACTAAGCAGCCGGCCAGCCCTCACACCCATTCACATGCCCAGAGCTGAGAATCTGCTGATCTGTCGGAGCTGCTGATCTGCTGATCTGGCGATCTGCTGATCTGGTCGAGCATTGACAGCGAAGTTATGCTAAAAATATAAAATGCACATTTTGGGTGCCAGGTGCATTGACTGGCTGCCGCTGCTGCCACGCGGGAGACCCAGACCCATAAAAGTTAATCTTAAATAACATAAATTTAAATACGATTTGCGTAAATTCTATGCTCGGGTCAGGAGTTGAGGGTGTTATCTTCAACCATTGCGACAGCCGCTAGCCGCTAGCCGCTAGCCGCCAGCAGAGCGTGTTTGGCCTCAGCTTCAGCTGATAGCCTTTCTGTTATTCTGATACCCTGTACAAAGGCAAACGACACAAATGGGTTGTATAAGCTGTGCCCTATGTGTGTTAAGAGTTGGAAAGTATAACTAACTAAGCTCAGATCAAAATATGCCTTAGCCTCTAACTTGGCATCAGCCTCAAATTTGAGCTCAGCTTCAGCTGATAACCTTTCTGTTATTCTGATACCCTGTACAAAGGCAAACGCCTCAAATGGGTTGATTAACATAAGCAAATGTTGTCTTTGCCTTACATCTTATATCAAGCTGGCTTTACATACTTAAAGTCCAGGGCCATGAATCGATAAAAAGAAATTACAGAATTTCTAAGAAAACGTTAACTTAAACTTATAAAACCCCAGGCTAAGCAATTTCAAATGCCACAGCTTTCATTGTTAGATATTTCCAGCCTTAAGTCAAATATAGCTTAGAAATGTTCAAGTATTCTTTAGCAAACCTTCTTGAAATTTAGTATACATTTAATTCGACATACTACCAAGCTATGTTTAAAATTTCTGATAGATAACTCAAGAAACAACAGAGTTCCGTGGGAACATCCAACAAAAATAGGGTACTAGCTCTAGCATAGTTCGACTGAGATTTAATCTCAGTCCCAGTAATCGAAACAAATAACTTGCAGAACCCATAAGAAAATATCTAGATATTTGCTTGGCTTATTATGCCAAAAGAAGCCAAATCTGATATATATATATATTTCCAGCTTAAAGCCAAATATCGCTTTAAAATATGCAAGAACTCTTTACCAAAACATCTTGAAATGTGGTACACAAATATTTCAGCATAACATCATGTTGTCCCATAAATTTCTGGTAGATAACTCGAGGAACAACAGAGTTCCATGGGAACATTTAACTAAGCTAGGGTATATGCTAGCTTAGTTGGGCTGATCACTTTTACTTGCTTGTTTTATTTGCTTGATATTTTTTTTGTAGCTTCGTTTCGTTTTCAAACAGGCCTAAGAGGAAGGGACCTCGCGATAAGTCATATTGTAAGGCAACAAAAAATGTTATTTAAAAATGATGGAAATACGAAAAAGCGATTAGTTATTGAAATCAAACGAATCGCGTGATTTCGCCAACGCGGACGCACAACAGACTCCTGCTCCAGATCCGAGGCTGATCATGGCCAACAATAGCTTCTGGTTGAAGATCGCGGCACTTGCCATCTTCTGTGTATTGAATGTGTATTTGTTTCTGATCTCCTGGAGCATTAGCTATCGCGATGCGCTCACCGTCGAGCAGGTGCGTTTCCGCGAGGAGATGCCCACAATGGACAGCTGGGTGAACTCACCCTTTGGCAAGCTGAAGAGCTACGTGTTCAATGTGACAAATGCGGAGGAGTTTATGAGCGGACGCGACGCGAGGGTCAAGCTGCAGCAGGTGGGACCCATTGTCTACAAGATTGTGGGCTACAACGATGTGCTCAATCGGACGGAGACGAGTGTGACCTATCGCAAGCATCGCTATCGCCATGTCGAGTTCGTGCCCGAGGAGAGCGTCTCGCCGGACATACTCAACCAGACCATCGTCCAGTTCAATAGCGTGCTGATCGGAGCCGCCGCCAAATACAGCGAGATGCCCTTCGCCTGGATGGGCTTCAATCCGTTGACCATTGCCGAGCCGGTCTTTCTGCCGGGCAGCGTTTATTATTTTCTCTGGGAGTACACGCGACCCTCGCTGGAGGCCATTGGCAAGGTGATAAAGCTGGACACCAACTGTGGCACGCTTTTCAATGTAAGTAGTCGGGCGGGCGAAAGATTCACCCCATAAACTCTCCTTCTCCCTATTTCGCACAGGCACTCAAGGAGAAGGAGGAGGTGTACACGGTGAATATTGGCCCCGAGCCGGGCATCGAGAACTTCTTCCGCATACAAAGCCTCAACGACGAGCAACTGATCCAGGAGCGGCTGAAACGCAGCCGCTCAGAGCCGGACGAGAGCTGTCCGATCAATGTCGTCGGCACCTTGGACAATTCCCTATATCCGCCCTTTGTGCAGCGGGACACGCCTCTGCGCATCGTGGCCAGCGAGTCCTGTCGCGTCCTCCCGTTGCACTATCAACGGGATCAGATGCACGACGGCCTGCAAGCCTATCGCTATGCCCTGCTCCAGGCCAACGAGTCGGCGCCCGCCTGCATGGACAGCACATATGGTGTCCGGCTGCCGCGCGGCATGTTCGACGTCTCCAAGTGCGTGATAAGTAAGTGCGATCCGTTCGTCCACTTTGATGCTGACGGGCATTCACATTGAGTTTTGCGCTTGCAGATGATGCGCCGTCGGCATTCTCGATGCCGCATTTCTATGGCAGCAGCTACGATTGGCGCCAGCATTTCGAGGGCCTCAATCCCAATGCCGAGGAGCATGAGCCCTATCTGCTGCTGGAGCCCATCATGGGCGTGCCCATCAATGAGAAATATCGCTTTCAGTCCAATACGCCGCTGCCGGACTTCAAGAGCTTCAGCCCGAAGCTGCAAAAGCTGCGCAACATGATTTTGCCTGTCTTCTGGTACGAATTCGTAAGTAGCTGCAAATCTAGAAAACCAATCTTCCCGCGACAGCTCTGACAATTTGTCTTTTAGGACATGGATCATCTGCCCGGCTTTGTGCTCCTGATGATACGCTTCAATGTCGTCTGGCTGCCCAGGCTGCAGCCGGTGCTGATGGCCCTGCAGCTGTTCCTCGCCCTCTGGTCCCTGCTCAGTCTGGTGCGACGCGTCAGCCGGAGTCGCAGCTACGGCGAGCTCTATCGCAAGCTGGGCGGCGGGCCCGATGTACAGCTGGAGACCGTATTGAATCCGCAACCACAACATGATCCCAAGTCTGTCAAATAGTCACAGACACGTGCGTGTATCTTATAGATACGTTTTAGGTTTAGCTACGTAGCTTTAGACACGGATCACCTCATCGGCTGTGCTTATCAGCAATAGCAATAGGAACAATAATACTAATAATAATGATAATGATAATGATAATGATAATGTATGTAATTACGATTGGTTGCACATCGAATTTGCCTCTCATTTCACCTTATCTGTCACAATGTCAGCGAAAGGGGGGGGTGGAGGAGGAGCCTATGCCCGAAACCCTCAATACAATCTCAGGGCCTTTGAGCCGGCGACTTGACTTGACGTGAGGTCGCGGCACTTTGATTCCTAGTCCACAATTACAGACAGATACACTCACACACTCACCCACACACACACATACACATATATATATGCATAAGTATATTGGCAATGAAAACCTGCGCACGTACCACACACTTAAGATCTCAGTCCCAAGATTTATTTTTACCTTTATCTGTTTCTGTTTGCTTTTTTCTGTTGTGCTTCATCAGGTTTTTGTTTTCTTTCGTGTTTCATCTGTTTTTATTTTTTGCTCTTTTTCGTTTTCTTTCGTTTTCGTTTTCGGTTTTGTTTATTTTCTGTTTCCTGAACCTGAACTTTTGCGCATGTTGCCCCTGCCACTGTCTGATTTCAAGGCGAGCAACCCTTTTGCATGCCCCACCCAAGACGACCTCTCTCTCCCTCTCCCTCTCCCTCACTCTCTCTCTCTTTCTGAGATCGTCTGTTGACATTCGCTCTCTGGCACTTTCCATTTGCATAAGCCAAATGCCGCTCTGACCGTAATATTGTAACACCCGTGTGGCAATTGGGCAACGCTTAACCTAGCTATATGCACATACATATACATATAAATATATACTATAAGTGTTGGAAAACGTGAGCAGAATATTTGCAGAAATATTACTGATTCAACGTTAAAAGACAAAACTTCCAGATTTAATTATTAAAAATTATGTTTTTTCCTTGGGAAAATTGAAAAAAATAAATATTCAAATAGTCCATATATTTTTTTCAAAATAAATTAAGCCCAGTTCAATAAGATAAGTTATCAAAAAATTTGTTTAAATTTGCAAAAAAGTTTGACGTGTTAATGTAAACAATTTTTTTTCCAAATTTAATGACGGACATTTTTTAGCCCAAATTTTATGATAATGACAAATAAGATTTTATTATCAAATTGCACATCAGAAATATTTAAAAAAAAATTGTTTTAATTTGCAAGATCATTTGAGTAAGAAAATAATTGAAACGAAGAAGTAAGGATAAGTTCGGCATGCCAAAGATTTAATACCCTGTAGACATTTGCCTTTAGCAGATATGTGAGAATAGTGAAGCTCATCAATGCTGAGTTTAACGAAAATATCTTGGGAAGCAGCATTTTTGACCGATCGTTCCTATAGCAGCTATATGATATAGTGTTGCGATAATGATACGATTTTGTATATATACGATTAAGATAGTTTGATAAATAACAAAGGTTTCCATATAAATTCGCTTTTCGACCGATTGTTCCTATGACTTCTATATAGTGATATCAGATATGATATCAAATCAGTCAGTTGATGCCGATCTAGAGTATATATCCTTTAAGGAGACAAAGATGTCTCCTCCTATGCGTTACATGTTTTATGACAAAATATAAATACCCTGCACAAGGGCATAAAAAGGCGAAGGAACATTTTTAAATTGAAATTTGACATATTCAAAATATACTTTGCCATAAATATTAAAAATTAAAACTGGATTTAGAAAAAAGTCAAGTCCAGTTAAATATTCAAATTTTTTGGCATAAAAACTTGTTAGCAAAACAAACACTCGAATTGGCCAATTGGACAGAAATTGCCGGTTTCCGCAGACTCGCAAATTATCATCCTGTGGCTGCCGGCAAAAATGTGTCCCAATTTAAACATTTTGCAACAAGCATCCAAACAAGAGGTTGTTAAATTTGTTGTTGATGATATGATAAATCAGCTGAGCTGTGCATTATTATACACAAATTAACATAAAAGTTATATCACAGCAAGTGTCCAGTAATTCATTAGCTTTCATTAGAGCCCGAGGGCCAAGAGTTGAATTGTCTAGATTTAAGCCGAACTGACCCATTGAACTGCAATTGAGTTGAGAGTTCTAGAAGCTCACGTCAATGCCATTAAAGTGCGAACACAAATGACAATAAATAACAAAAAATATAAAATATATCTTTATGTACGTTTATTTTATGGCCCAAGTGAAGTCAAAATAAACAGCGGCAATTATCAGGCTCTGATTTTGTGGAAAAATCTACAATATAAATAAAACTGACCACGCGTCAGTGGGAGGGCAGGGCAGCAGAGGGGGGGTGGGTGGGTAAATCCCAGTTCAAGTTGGCGCAAAAATGGAGACCAGTTGAATTAAGCTTTCGAAATCTGGTTGGGCCCAGAGAGAGACAGAGACAGAGAGAGAGAGAGAGAGACGCGCGATGCCAGATAATTGAAATTAAAAGAGGGAAATGCATAAAAGTGATTACAACATATCCAAAAAAAAACAAAAAACAAGCTCGTAAAAATAAAGAGCAACAACAGCAAGATGCAGAGATTTGAATTTTTCACGTTGAATGTTTTTCCTATGAATTTTGGCACAACTAACAACCAAAGCAAACAGCTGTGAAGTCGGGCATTGGCAACTGCGGCGAGGGGGGGCAGAGGGCTGCGTCGCTCAAAGGTGAGGCCGCATTTACATTTAAACAATCTAGAAGAAGAAGAAGAGAGAGAGAAAAAAAAACACAAATAAAGAGCTTGCGTACATCCCAAGTACACGGCAAATTGCGCTAGCTTCAAAATTCGGGTGAAAACTTCAAAATCCGGTTCAATTTGGCAGCGCGTTTTTGTTTTTGTTTTTTGTTTTGTTTTTTTTTAAGCCAAGCTGTTGCAGTGTGCGAGAGAGACCTTTGACTCGGTCGGCCCAGGCGGCGCCCGCGCTGTCGAGCGTATGCGAGAGCTTTGGCCGCGACGCGACGCGTGCAAAGCTCCTTAGTATAAAAGTGGGCTAAACAGGCTAACAGCTTGGCAATCAAAGCTGTGCTGTCGTACGCAACACACACACTTCGCGAATTCCCCAATCCGACCGCATCAAAAGCAACAGGTGAGCCTCACAAGCAAAAACAACAACTTCTACGCGCTCTCTCTCTCTCTCTCGCTCTCTTGTTGAGCGCGTGAGAGCGCGCGCAGCGCATGCTGCGCGTGCGCTCGGCTTGCAACTGTTAAATTGGTATCGATACTTGTGTATTGCGTAAACCGATTGGCAACACTTGTCTGCACCAAACAACGGTACAAAAGCCGTTATATAAAAAAAAGAGAGGAAATACAAAATAAGAGGGGGAAAAAAAACCCAAAAACGATTTGAAGCCGTTTTGAACATGAGCTTAGACGCAGAGCTTAGCCCGGACTAAGCACAGCGACGACGTGGCCAGAAATTGTGAAATCTTTTGTTATTAAAACCTTAAACGATTAATTAGTATGCATATGCCATATATATGCCAAGTGGCATTAATAATGCATGAATTAAGGCTTAGCCCAGAAATGAGCTGGCCAAAACAGACGAGAATCTCCAAGAGAAAGACATTAAAAACAAAAAAAACTAACTAAATATATAAATAAAACGCGTTGTCAAGCCAAACGCAGACCTGACGACGCCCGAGATCAGACAGACAGATTATTTAGAGCTCCATCAATTTGTTTGGAGTTGCGAGATAGACATAAAACGTATTTGAGCAAGATTTAGTATTTGTTTTGCAATTACTCACGTTTTTTTTTCTTTCGGGGGACTTTTTTCATATATGTTTGTGTGTTCTGTCTGCTAACAGCGCTCGAGACAAGATGAAGGCATCTCTGGCCATTCTGTTGGTGTGCATGTTTGCCGGCCTGGCGGCCGCCAGACCCGAGCAGAAGTACACGAACAAGTTCGACAATGTGAACGTGGACGAGGTGCTGGGCAACAATCGCATATTGAACAACTATATCAAGTGCCTGATGGATAAGGGGCCGTGCACACCGGAGGGACGCGAACTGAAGAAACTGCTGCCCGATGCCCTCGAATCGGAGTGCTCCAAGTGCACCGAGGTGCAGCGTCGCAATTCCAACAAGGTGATCAATTTCCTGCGCGTCAACAAGCCAGGCGAGTGGAAGCTGCTCCTGGACAAGTACGACTCGAAGGGCATCTACAGGTCCAAGTACGAGAAGCACGTTAAGCATTAAAATTAACAAAAATACATAAAAAAAACAAACACATTGTATCGTACTCGTTATTTAAACTACATAAAAAAACAAACAAAAAAAGGATGAAAAAATAAGTAAATTAATTTGTTTGTCGTTTTCATACCTAAAACACTTGCAATGCAAATTTTATTCCAAAATTTATCCAAAAATGTCTAGGCAAACTGCTGCGGCTAATCATATTAAATGGGTCTAAATGGGGGGCTTTTTTGTTGTTCTGGTTATATATTGAGCGCGACTTTGGACTTGTTGTTATTTCGATTCGTTGATCAGATCAATGGCCCTGAAGTGATTGGCCACATTGATCGTCCAGTCGGATTGTTGTCCGGCTGTGAACTCCTTCTTGAAGCGATAATTACATATGAAGACCCGATCCTGATACTCGGGCAGAGTGCTTAAATCGAACGAAATTTTCAAATAAATGAGTAACTGTATGAATGAGTAGAGTCAACATTTCGGTGCTCACCCCATATTCCAGGGTATCTCCTCGCCGCGTTCGCGCATCTCGGTCAGGCCGCGCATCACATGGAAGACCATTGTGATCTCGACCCAGCGCTTCTGCAGCTTGTCGTTGGCATCGTCGAACATGATGCCGATCTGATAGGGAAACGACAAATAGATGTCGCTCTCATTGATCTCCAGCTGTTTGCGCTGCGTCATCGACAGCTTCTGGACAACGGGCTTCAGTTCGGCAATCGCATCCGGCGTGACCAGATCCTGCAGCTTGTTCAGATCGCCGCCCACCAGCCGTGCGGATACCACCTGATCAAAGATAGAGACAGAAAGAGAGAGAGAGAGTTCTTGAGTTTTTTGTTAGACAATGCGAGGCGACGAATTGGTTCGCACCTGCAGCGCCTGCTTGGCGCCAAATATGAAATCCTTAATTTGAAATTCACTATCGAAATAGGGACGTATTATAAACTGTACGGTTATCCAATTTTTAATTGTATTTAAAGCCGAGGGCCAGATTATTTCTGGAAAATCCATCAGACGCGGCAACTGATTGCGGCTGGTCTGATTCTTGTTCTGTTCGGGGGCGTGCGGCACCGTTGCAAAGCAGCGCATCCTTGTTGTTGTGCCCGTGGTTGCCATGGTTAGGCAGCGCCTTAAAGTGTGTTGCATTATTAACTAGTTTGGTTTCTTTTCAATAACAATTAATGTTGTGATTGGCGTTTTTATTTTAACTGTATGATCAGCTGTTCGGCCAGGGCTGACCAAATACATTTCGTTATAGCATTGGGCTGTTATGCAAGCCTGCTGTTAACACACTGTTCGGCGCCCATTGTGAATGGGTTTGCCTATTATCTGGTCATACTAAGTTATATAGCAGTGAGCATTTTGTCACTGTAGTTGCTCGAAAATGGCAGTCACTTCCGTCTGTCAAATTTTTCTTTCTTTCCCAGCCACGACGAGCAAGGGTCGACAGCATGAGGTACTGTTGAATTTTCTAAATTTCTGTGTTTTGTGTACGAAAATGTGTGAAAAGTGCTGATTAGCGTCTGGCTCAACCATTGAATGCTGCACAAAATGTGTGCAGTTCAATTAAGCTGCGAAAATTGTGAAATAACCTGAACGTGGGCGCACACACACACGCACGAGCGCACGCACGCACACACATTTACATACAAACTCATGGCACGCTGCATTCTAATGTGTGATGTCTCTTTTTGCAGTTCTCTAAAGCTCCAGAAGAGGCTCGCAGCCTCAGTGCTGCGTTGCGGCAAGAAGAAGGTTTGGTTGGATCCCAATGAAATAAATGAAATCGCCAACACAAACTCGCGTAAGTATAAAAAAAACTATGTTCTAGTGTGTGTGTTGCACAAGTGCGCGCTGCTAATATCCCCCTTCCCCTCCCCCCATATAGGTCAGAACATACGCAAACTGATCAAGGATGGTCTGATCATCAAGAAGCCCGTCGTGGTGCATTCCCGCTACCGTGTCCGCAAGAACACCGAGGCGCGCCGCAAGGGCCGCCACTGCGGTTTCGGTAAGCGCAAGGGTACGGCGAACGCCCGTATGCCCACCAAGCTGCTGTGGATGCAGCGCCAGCGTGTGCTGCGCCGTTTGCTGAAGAAGTATCGCGACAGCAAGAAGATCGATCGCCATCTGTACCACGATCTGTACATGAAGTGCAAGGGTAATGTGTTCAAGAACAAGCGTGTCCTCATGGAGTACATTCACAAGAAGAAGGCCGAGAAGCAGCGCAGCAAGATGCTGGCTGACCAGGCCGAGGCCAGGCGACAGAAGGTGCGCGAGGCACGCAAGCGACGTGAGGAGCGTATTGCCACCAAGAAACAGGAGCTCATCGCCCTGCACGCCAAGGAGGATGAGATCGCTGCGAAGGCTGCCACTGCGGGTCATTAAGTCGACTTAAACAACAGCGTTCCCAGACCGTGGGCATTAATTAGTAATTGTTTTACAAGTGAAATAAAAATTGTCATTTTAGTTTGGCCGAAATGATTTTGTACAAACGAGATATGAACCAGGTGTGTTTCTTATCCGGATGGGCAATCAATTCCAAGTGGAATCAGCTGTGTCGAACAACATACATATTGTGGAAACCTACAAAATGGTTTTGAACTTGACAAACAGCAAATAGCTGATACCAAATACAAGAACCAATAAGAAAAATAATTTAAAATAATGCGCTTTTTGTGCGAGTGTGAACGATAAACTTTTTTCTATCGATAGCAGCAGGCGAATATATCGCATAAGCTACTCGATATTGTATCGGTTTCATTTGAGATGTTTGCGGCAACCGATTGAGGTCACACTATTCGCCGCTCACATCATTTTGAAATCGAAACTCGTTCGTAGCGGTCGTCAGTCGTGGTGCAGCAGCGGTGCACGAGCTAAATTTGTTTAGAATTCTGATATATAAATAAAGCGATTTATAGAATTGAGCAGCAGGCAGCAGCTCCAATCAGAAAGAGTCATCAACTAAACAACGTGTATGCTAGGGCATTCTGTTTGGCATAAAACGGCAGCGACATTTTCAAACCAACGCAAAACGCATTCGAGTTCAATAAAAAGCAAACGTGTCGGCAGCAGCAGCAGCAGCATAAGCTTAACGATTAACTAACTACCTGTAACCAAAAGTCTGCAGATTTCGTAATAGCAACAAAGCATTTGCCTAGAGCAGCCGCAGCAGCAGCAGTCCGGTCAACGTTAGCGTCACGCAAAGAATTCACAAATACAAATACAACTATATGAGAAATCAGCTGAAGGCCCGCACGCACACATGCACACAACCGTATGAACTCAATGCGATAGACACACAGTGAAAGTGCGCGTGTATATGTGATACAAAGAGCAAAAGAAAAAATTTATTAACTTGCGGTGTCAGCATTTATAATAAAACATCAATTTACCAAAAACGTTCGCAAAACCGTTTTTGGTAATAGAAGACACAACCCACACACAACCAACAACAACAACTAAAACCCCAACCATCAGATACTAAAATACAGCACAATGAGTGGATACACAGACCTCACCAAGCTGGAGACTAGTCGGTAAGTGCCAAGATCTGATCGGATGATGGGGAATATGCCTACACACACACACACACACATAAGTGTCTGCCTGCCTGCGTGTGTGTCCAGGTTTGGGCTGGGCAAGCGCGAGTTTCTAGTTAAAATGTGTTTAAATTCAATTTAAAGCAGTTGCTAAATTGTAGCAGGCGAGCGGGCGGGCGGGTGTTGGCAATTTCGCTCACATCATATGCCCGCTCTCTCTGACTCTTTCTGGCTGCACGCTAGCACCGCACCCCGTGTCCACACGTTTCTCTTTCGTTTCGTCAAAAGAAAAAAAAAACACACACACACACACACAATATACAACAATTTTATCGTACGATGCGAACGGCCATTCAAACACGAAAGAAAAAAAAAAGTAAAGGCAATGCTGCCTAATATGACACAATCGTGCTATATACATATACATGTGTGTGTGTGTGCGTGTGCGTGTTTCGAGCCTGGGCTCGATTTGTGTGAATGTGTTTGTTTGTTTAAACTAATAAAATTGCATACCTCTCTGAACATGCCACTTTCCAACGCCGCGACTCAAATGGTTTTTTTTTTTTTTGTTTATCGCAATTGCTCTAATCAGCGCTTTTGGCGCTTGCATGTCACTTATCGATAATAACTATTACTCATCTCCATTGCCACTAGGCGAAAAGACAAATTATGAGCCACACGCCGCCGTAGGCTATAAAGCAAAAAAAAAAAAACAATCAGAAATGTTGTGATTCACAGTCGGCGCTCTTAAACCCAACTGATTGACGTAGGCATACAAATACATGCATACATACAAATACATATACATATACATAAGTACATTCATACATACCCATTAATACTTTGATGACGTTTGTGTGTTACTTTGAATTTTGTATTACTTTGGCACGGGTTGGCGCGGCCAGCTTTTGCCTTGACAAAGTTGCGGCCCTTATTCATGTTTTCCTTTTTTTTTTAATAGAATTTGTCTTTGCATTCGTTTGTCGCGTGTTCAACTAATGATATGTAATTAATATCGATTTGCTGATTTATCGATTATTATTGGAGGTCATTCGAGGCCAGACAGGGGCAGCCACACTGCAAAACAACATTAAACAAATATTGGTCAATTCGGTTCAAAATAAAAAGGAGGAGAGAAAAAAAAATGTTGCCCAACTTTGCAAATATTGCTGGCAAAACAAAAATATCAACAACAACAACAACAGCATGACTAGCGTCTCTTAATCTAACAAATCGTACAGTTACAGCTCGCCGCGCTGCCTCCCTCTCTCACGCGCACTCAAAAAAGAGCGCAGCTTAAGAGCGTAAACGCTCTCTTGCCACAAACTGCCAACACACACACACACACACACACACACACACACACGCACACAATTACACGGCGTGCCTGCTAAAACATCGGCTGATTTCTGTGTTGTATGCCGCGCTGCTGCTGCGCATGTCCGCTGTGAAAACCTGGACGCGTGTCGTCGCGTGCCGCCTGCTCGGCTTGGCCCACTTCACACGGGCAGGTGTCGCCAGGTGTGCAGCGGCTAAGCTTTGTTTTGGCCACCTTAATAGGCCATACGATAAATAGAGAATCGAGACAACAATTAACCCAAACATTCAACTCAACACAGATGCGCACGCTGAGATAATAGGGCTTGCCATGCCGCGCCGTGCTGCGCTGCAATTGGTCGTTTCAGATGGCGTGTTTCGAGCGCTGCCGCAGTCGCTGCTTTTGCCGCTGCCGCCGGCACAATTGGGCGCAGCAGCACTTGTTGTGCGATTTAGCAAGAGCTGTGGGTGTGGGTGGAGGGAGGAGGGTGGAGTGGGGTAGCAGCACAAAAGGTCAATAACGTTAATACTCCCCACACACACAAACACACACACGCAGCACACCGCACTCCCCGCAGCTCTAAGCGAGCTTTTTAATGCTGGCGCGTGGCCAACAGCTTGACTAATGCCTGTTTTATTTGCTGCGACATTTGCTAAAATAGGCAACACCTGATTTGCTTTTTTTTTTTCTAAATAATGTAAATAAACCGCTTCATTCATTGTCGAGCTAATTATGTATGAATGAGGCGAGCCGACCGGACGTTATTTATTGATAAGATAATTGCGCGTCTTGCAATTTATGGTCTCTCGCCCTAATAAGAATCAATTGCGAGCGAATCAAACAAAATGGAGTCTTCCCGAGCAACTGTTTATATATGTATGTATCTGATTTGATCAGCTGTTATTATTGATATGTGGGCGGACAAACAGCTGAAATGTTTTTTTAATATTGCAAATATTATCCGAAACTAGAAAGTGATTATCAAATTAGGCATAATAAAATCCGAGCTACTTGCCTGGCATTTAGTATGTGCCTTAAACAGGCTGTTGTTTAGTTAGTCTGTGAATTTGATAGCGATCCATGGAGAAACAGGCGAGTTACTTGAGCAGGGCATAAACTAGATAGCCGTGCACCTGCTGCATTCCAAATTGGCTGCCTTATGAGGTGTTTTTTTTTTTACTTTTCTTGTTCAAATATTCCATATTCAATTAGCTCAATTAGTCATTTGTGCGATGGGAAAGTTTCTCGCCAAGCATATATATAGAAGGGGGGTGTGGAGAGAGGCAACTAGCGGAAAAAAACCTTGACACAAGCAACGAAACACGTCTCTATATCAGAGGCAGTCCGACCGTCCGTCGGTCGGTCAGATAGTCGGATAGCTTGGCGAGCACGCGGCGTTCGCGTGTCCGTTTCCCCCACACAAGCTGTTACATTCAGAAGCTATCAATAGTCTAGACGAGTGCCACGGTTGGGTGCGGGGACGGGGGTGGCAGCCTGCTCTCTTGTGGCAGCCAAACACATGTGAAGGCGACCAGACGATCACGCGTCTGCCAGACGACACATTATCGTAGACAAAGTTGCCTCATTCCATTATCAGTTATCAGCGAAGCGAACGGAACTCCAGCTCCAGACAACGATAAGCGTTGTGGACTTTAAACGTCGCGATCTGTGAGACTAGCTGGCGTCAGCCAGACGGGTTTAATGGAGGGCTACTACAACAGAAAAGGGGGGAGGGGGGGGGGGGGGGCAAGCGGAGTTGGCAGCGTGTACTTAAAGCTAATGGGCTGCTTGTGTAAGGCTCTAGAGACTGAGACACGTGGCGTTTAGAGCGCTTGACCCGCAACCAGGTAGCACAGGTAGACAGCCCACAGGCAGCTTGGCTGCTTCAGAAATAGAAATCGACAGGTTTTTGTTTTTGGTCTTCGTCTATTTATACACAAATTGAATTTGGCGACTTTGTCTGGGCTCATTTGCATAGTTGGAAATCAATTTGTTTGTGCTCATCGTGAAGATGTTGCCGATGTCGGAAATGTTAGAAGAACAACTGGCCAGACTTAAAGACGCGACACGTTTCGAGCTCATATTTCGGGTTATATGTATATATTTTATTTATCGTCTTTACCGTCTTGACTGGTTTCCAGCCAGACTTGGCTACAACTGCTTTTTGGGCAAGACAAAAGACGTTGCCAAGCCCACAAAAGTCTATTCTTGTGGATAATGTTTCCCAGTTCTTCTCTATTTGTTTCTAGCCAAACTCTAGACGTTCTCTCTCTTGATTAACTTGGGCTGACTTCCTCCATTTGTATCGGGAAATCAGTTGGCGTTATTTATCAGAACTTTTCTTTGTTTTCGAGTTGTATAAAAATCGATTGAAATCTCGTCAACCTCGGACTACTTTTGCTTTTCAATTTATTCGAGCCAAATTTGCCATTTGGAGCTTCATCTTACATACAATATAGTCTGGGTTATCTTATGCATATCGGAACACTTTGAAACTATTTTAAGCAGACATTTCGAGCTTCTTATAAAAGATTTCTTAGGATTAATTATAATAATCTTTTTATATTTGAAATAATCAGTCGAAAAATGTGTTATTGTATATACAATATCGTATGTAGATATCTTAGATATCTTATCTTATAGAGATATATATATCTTATAGAGATATTTAAGATATTCAATTGGAATAATCGAAATATCGAATCCCGCTTTAGAATCGTTCGAACATAAAGTTCTTGTTCTTATTTGCATGTAAGGGTATTCAATCTTCGACAACCCGAAGTAAACTTCTTTTTTTTTAATTTCCAACTAAAGTTTTGACAATAATTTTTTCCATTCTTTTTTTTTTGCATTTCTTTCAGGAACTGTCTGCGTCGCATTGCGCGCCACGACGAGCAGCAGTTCTCCAAAGACAGCATCGTCAATCTGATGGAGAAGTTTGTGAAAACGGTCAACACGATGGATGATACCATACTGGTGCCATGCAGGCTCATGGATCGGCAGGTGGGTTCAACCCAAAAAAGAGAGAAACCCGAAACGAAGCTAATCTGTGTCTCTGCCTGCTTGTCGCTCTCTCTCTCTCTCTCTCTCTCTCTCTCTCTCTCTCTCTCTCTCCCCATCTCTTCCACTCTCTCTTATTAAACCCCCTCGTTAGATCGGTGATAGCACTGATATAATACCTGCAACGGGCAAGGATACGACCGCCAATCAGCTGACAAAGAGTTCCAGCGCACAGGGCAAGCGGGGCGCGGCGCATTCAAAGAATGTCCAAGAGTTTCTCAACGCCTCCGAGCTATTCAATTTGTACACCGTGCTGAATGCCCTGAAGAAGGATTTGCTGTGGACCAACAATCAGGACGATGACGACACGGAGCTGGAACCCGAGCAGCAGCAGCAGCTCAGCCAGGCGGCGGAGACAAAGACTGAGGCCAACACAAGCAGCGGGGGCAGCAGCAGTCGGGTCAAGGGTCATGTGAGACGCACCTCGACAGCGTCCATGATGTCGACCACATCGGTTAGCAATCTGAGCGATTCCGAATCGGATATCTCGAACGAGATCGATTCGGGCCTAGAATCGGATGGCAACAAGAGCGACCACGCCCAAAGCACAGACGGCAGCGATATTGCCGATGCCGCCCGCCAACCCCAAAGCGACAAGGCCACGGAGCTGGCGCAACGCTGCAAAAGACATCTGAATGGACTGTACCAGTGCCTCGAACAGATGACAGAGGCGGCCAACTATCTGACCGCCAGATACCAAAGTGATATTGGAGCCGTCTAGAGTGAATACTCGCTACGGTTGCCAACACCTCTCGGAATGTGTGTTTAGCTTCTACTCTACTTCTTCTTCTTACACCTGGGCGGGCTCTAATCATGTAAACCAAATAGAAAAACAACAACAACAAAAAAAAAGCTTGAAAAAAATTGTTAATAATAAGGAAAAACGGTTTTCTTTTCTTTTGTGTGAGGTCCTTTCTGTTAAGTGAGATTTAATTTCATAAAAAAAAAAAAAAAAAAACTAAAAAAAAGTGTGGAGTGCTAAGACATATGAGTACATAATACATATATATATATATATATATATATATATATATATATATATATATATATATATATATATATATATATATATATATGAATATATGTATATATGATGATTGTATAGAATCGATCGTAACTGATAATAATGATAATGAAGATAACTACATTTATATATATATATACAAACAAAATTGCGAATAAGCTTTTTTTTAAAAAAAAACAAAAAAAAAACACAATTTGTATTTGTATTTTGGGTTGACGGGTACAACAACAAAACAGAACAAATGTTGAGTGTGTATGTGTGTGTGTGAGTGTGTGTGTGTATATGTGTGTGCTTTGTGTGTGTGGGTCAGCTCGTTTGATATGATACAGTTATTGTTGATGATGATGATGATGATAATGAAGAGCATTCCTTTAGTACACACGCTGTGCCCGCACACTCACACACACACACTCGCACGCACACACACACTCGCACACACACACTCGCACACACACACTGTAGAAATTGGGTGTGGCCAGGCCCCACCCAGAAAAAGAAAAGATATGATGTATTGTATACTCAAGCAGCAGCTGACCCCATGCCAGGTTTGCGCTGCAAAAAAACAAAACAAAACGAGTCAAAAATGTTATCCTATTTGTCTTTCATTATAATCTGCCCCATATATATATATGTGAGTGCGTATATATGTGTATATGTGTCTGTCATTTGATTTATGTATATGTTATACTTTAATTTAGCCTTAGTCTCTTATGCTGTTTAGTTAAGTGTGTAACAAAATAAACGAAAAACAATTCAAAACCATTGTCGAAATGCAAAAAATGTTTAATGTTCAAGTACAAGAAATATAATTTCGTAACAACAACAAACATCATTAATTCCGTTAATTGTCATATGTCGGACCCCCCAGCAGCAGCAACAACAACAACATGTTATATGTACATACACACACACACACACACACACACACCCTTCATGTTTGTGCTGCGTGCGGGCGCCGCAAATTGCTTGCGAGTTATGAGAATTATTTATACAATAAATAAATACATTTATTTAGCAAAAGTGCAAACAAAATAAACAACAACGAAACTCTTTTAATTTACCATTCAAGCAAGAAGAAGCCGAAAGTATTGATCGATTGGCCGATCGACCGGTGCAAATTCCAATTGGGCCAACTGCCAGTTTCGTGTTGGCATTGACCATCGTAAAAGCCCCGTATAGATTACAGTACAGTACAGTTAACATTGACTGTGACGACAATCGTTTGTTTCATATTTTTACCGCTTTATAACACTATTCGTTCTTTTATGAGCCATATGCCGCTTTATAACACTTTCAGTCTTTTACGATCTCGAATATGGGCACACTTATTTTAATATCAATTAATATCAGCTCATGTTAAATTGGGAAATTCGCTTGAGGAAATTCCCCCAGAAAACAAGAGGCTATCTTAAAAGAGTGTGGTTAATGGAGGAAAAGTAGAGATCATTTTAAATGAATGATGAAAGAACGATAAATGATATATTAAAATTATTGCTTGACGAAAGAAATGAGAACCTAATGAATATATTATTATTGCTTGATGAAAGAAGAGTTAAAAATAGACACTCCAAGTTCTTCTACCTTAATCTATTCCAAAATATGAATACAAAAAGCGCTTGTTATGGGCATCATTTATATGATATAGTTTAGATTCGATTCGATTTCGAATGCTTTTCCCAAAACAGATCGGGCTGAAATCTCTGCTATAATTTATATATTGTCAAGCATAAAACATGTTCATGATCAAATCTGTGGCTTGAATAGACCGGAAGCAGCTAAAAGTTTAGTCGTGGACTAGTTGGGCACAATGCGAGCTATGTTTAAAACAATCTGTATTTGCATGATATATATATAGCTTAGGTAGATCTAAGACCTTGCTATAGGAATCAGGTATATATGTCAAATGAGCAGCTATATACCAAATTAACATAGCATAGATTAAACAGGTTGAAACTCTACTGAAAATTCAGCTGATATATCACACACCTATATTATACCATATGGGCCCGAGAACGCAATCTAAGTGCCTGTGTATACACTTAATTTTTTTTTTATAAATATTCATATAGATGCATTTAGCCTTAGTTCCCCTAAATCTACATATATGCATATTTGCGTGTCTGTATTGACTCAGCTTTATGGGGTGTCACAAGCGGCACTTCCAAGCTATTATCTTAATGAGCTGAAACTTTTGCTAAGAATGCAACTAAATTGCGTAATTACATATACATCATTGCTAATAATTAGCTTGCTTTCTAGAAACTATCTAATATAACTGTTTACTGCATCTTTTGATATCTAATTAGTCGCAGGCGAATAAGTAACAATTTAGCACTACTCTAATAAGTTGTTAGATAGTTATTATGTTTTGAAATAGTATAGGATAGTGTTAATCATAATAATAATAATGTTGAGGAAGTCTCATTCAAAGAAGGGGCGGTAGCAAGGGTTGCTTAAATTGTGGGAGGAAGAGAAACATTGCTTGAAGTAGTCCATATCTGAGCAGAGGAATAAATACTTTGCCCCTTTGCTTCCTTCTACCCCAAGTTATAGTTGGACATTCACAAATCATGTGGTTAGTTAGAGTATCAGAAGATATAGTTTAAATAATCAATCATATAGGGTATGGCCTGTAGGGCAATACTACATGCATAAACTAGCCTAGGATTTGAACCAGGATCTTTCTGTTTTAGTTAAGGACCTTAAGGACTACACAACTTAGACATATCGACATTCTTTTTCTTATTATAATCATTATATGGCCTAGGATGAGGGCAATACTGCATCAATACACTAGCCTAGGATTTGAGCCAGGATCCAGCTCAACTTTCTTATTATTAATACAGTTATCATTATTAGTATTAGTATTAGTATTATTATTGGTATTAGTATTAGTATTTGTATTAGTATTAGTATTAGTATTAGCATTAGTATTAGTATTAGTATTAGTATTAGTATTAGTATTAGTATTAGTATTAGTATTAGTATTAGTATTAGTATTAGTATTAGTATTAGTATTAGTATAAGTATTAGCATTCGTATTAGTATTAGCATTCGTATTAGTATTCGTATTAGTATTAGCATTCGTATTATTATTAGTATTAGTATTAGCATTCGTATTAGTATTAGTATTAGTATTAGTATTAGTATTAGTATTAGTATTATTAGTAGTATTATTAATTGTAAATGGTCCTGGGTCTCAAACCAATTGCTTTGTTGTGTGATAGATTAAATGTTTTTATTAGTTAGCTATTGTCTATAGCGATTATTTACTGTCTTAAAAGCGGCAGCCAAAACAATGTCTACTATCTGATGGGTAGATAGTGTGTGCGAAAGAAATATGGACTTGTGCGCGAATCGAAAGTTTGATAAGTATTCAAAGCTAATAAAGTATTATGGATCATGAGACTGAATCATGCCATATACTGAAAATGAAGAGAAAAAAAAACGTAACAAAACAGCTGTTCGTTAGAAAAAGTTCCGTTGGCCAAGTGCATTAGCGGCTATTTAAAGGCTTATAAACAATGGACACGCCCACGCGCGAGCCTATTACCAAGAGGCTTATCAGTTTTTATTTATATATGTTTCGTTTCATTTCATTTAGATTGGGTTTTTATTGAACGCCCGGCGATTCTATAGGTCTATCTGGGCCAAGTAATACAAGACACTCGAGTGCTCGGTTTCTCGGACATGGCCAACAGCCATATCAGTTATAAGAATCGCGAAATGTTTTGTCAAAGCCCTGAACTTGTTTCGTGTTTATCAGACGCCGTACTTGAGCATTTGCCATTGAGATACAACGATGATGACATCGTCTTCGGGCATGGACAATGTTTCATTATTGTTCTAGCCGAGACTTTTTAGGGGTTGGTTTGGCCCAAGACTTTCGAACATACATTTAATTAACGCCTCGGATCGAAATCAATTTTATTGAAAGGCTTCCGTATTGGAAAAGGCCAGCAATAGAACTGAAACTGATTTCATTAGTCGATGTTATTATTATTGTTGATGTTATTATAAAAAAAAACTGCCACATACAGACGGGGTCGGGGTCGGGGACGGTGCTAAAACCATTTGCAAATTGCGACAGTTTCGTTTATCATATATCAACGACATGTGTGTGTGTGTGTTTTGTTCATAAATATATGGATATACTTAGATATGCATCTTTAATACCCTTGCAGAGTGAGGGCATTAGAAGTTTGTCATGAGATATGTGACCTTAGAAAAGAAAGCTTAGGATTAAAGCCAAGCCCGGATCAAACGGGAACTAGAACAAGACAATAACAAGATCTATTAACCAGTTTAGATATATTTCTTACATATCGCCAAATTGAATCAATTTCGGAGTACTATCATATAACTCTATAAGAAGAATTGGTAGAGCAATAAGTTTTTTCATTGAAAAATATTCTAGTTCTAATGATATCTTCTGCAAGCTTCTTAATTACGAACTACCCAATTCTGCTCACACATCTGCAAGCCCTTGATCTTTATGTCTAGAAGAGTATTTCATCTTCGGCCAGCTGGCCCCTCTCTTGCTTGTTTCTTTTAGACAATGCCTCGCATTTGTAGCTTCTGCTATGAAGCATAAACTTGGTTTTAAATACGATTCTGACTAGGCGGAAATAAATTTTCGAAATGCTATTTCTATTTCTCAATTTTTTGGCCAGCCTCCGTTTTGCCAGATACTTAAATACAACCGTTAGCAGACGGTCTGTGTGCCGGGCAAAGCCGGAAACTGTTTACAATATATATTGAGATTAGCTTGCGGCATATTCAAGATTTTATTTGATTATAATATTAAACCATTTCCGTTTATTGAACCCGTCAGAGCCTTGAGCTGCGCAGGATTAGTAATAATTTTAAAAGCTAGCCAAGAACAACGTTACAACAACCTGTTGTTATTCCATTCAGACTCAAGCTCTTGAAGT